AACTAAACAGGGGCGAATAGAAAAACACACTGTGATGAACGTCCCCGCAGCCCTGAGTCCAGCGTTTCTGTGGCTAAAATCCACTCCTCCTCCCCCCTGGTGCAAAAATCAAAGGCACTCAACGTCCACAAATAAAACAGAAAAACATCTCCATCCACCACGATCAGATGGACTACAGCATGTCCTCAAATATGCAATCAAGTCGGCGTTATGCATCAGTAAACTTACAAGGACAGTTCACCCTCCTGAAATGCAGTCTTTAGCACTTTTCTGTTTGTTGTAGGGGGGAAAACACACATAATAAAAGTGACACCCTCACTCATCATTCATTTTCACTGCATTTTGGTACATTTGATGCAGGATTTACTTTTTCCCGTACATTAAAAATAGATTTTAGAAAAAAACAAATATATATAGGTCGACAGATTTTGTCTTTAAATCATGGGCAACATCTTTTCCATTGCTGTATAAAACTAATAATGATTTTCTGTTCTGTTCAGATCTGATTAAGCCGTTTCCTGCACAAATTATATCAGATTTAAGTGGAGAGCCTACAATGTTATTTTTGGCTGTTCTTTTCCTTTAAATTGTGACTGTATGGACTAAACGTTTCATCTTTGTGTCTTGATATATTTCCCATTGTAATATTTGTAATCAGATTCCGTCTAGTTTACCCAAAAAATACTATTTTGTCATCATCTAGTTCAGTGTTTCTCAACCACGTTCCTGGAGGCCCACCAGCACTGCATGTTTTGGATGTCTCTTTTGTCCGTCACACCTATCACAGGTCTTTCAGTCTCTGCTAATGAGCTGATGATCTCAATCAGGTGTGTTTGGTTATAGAGACATAGAAAATGTGCAGAGGTTGAGAACCACTGATCTAGTTGACCTAATTGATTATTATTCAGAAAATATTAATAAAACAAGTATCAGATTTTTCTGTTAACAGCTGATATTTTTGGTCTTTAAATCATGACCGTATGGGCAACATCTTTTCCATTGCTGTATAAAACTAATAACGATTTTCTGTTCTGTTCAGATCTGATTAAGCTGTTTCCTGCACAAATTATATCAGATTTAAGTGGAGAGCCTACAATGTTAGTTTTGACTGTTCTTCTCCTTTAAATTGTGACTGTATGGACTAAAGGTTTCATCTTTGTGTCTTGATATATTTCCCATTGTAATATTTGTAATCAGATTCCGTCTAGTGTACCCAAAAGTGACTATTTTGTCATCATCTAGTTCAGTGTTTCTCAACCACGTTCCTGGAGGTCCACCAGCACTGCATGTTTTGGATGTCTCTTTTGTCTGTCACACCTATCACAGGTCTTTCAGCCTCTGCTAATGAGCTGATTATCTCAAACAGGTGTGTTTGGTTTTAGAGACATAGAAAATGTGCAGAGCTGGTGTTACTCCAGGAACGTGGTTGAGAACCACTGATCTACAGTAGTTAACCTGATTGATTATTATTCAGAAAATATTAATAAAACAAGTATCAGATTTTTCTGTTAACAAATAATATTTTTGTCTTTAAATCATGACCGTATGGGCAACATCTTTTCCATTGCTGTATAAAACTAATAATGATTTTCTGTTCTGTTCAGATCTGATTAAGCCGTTTCCTGCACAAATGAAATCAGATTTAAGAGGAGAGCCTACAATGTTATTTTTGGCTGTTCTTTTCCTTTAAATTGTGACTGTATGGACTAAACGTTTCATCTTTGTGTCTTGATATATTTCCCATTGTAATATTTGTAATCAGATTCCATCTAGTTTACCCAAAAAATACTATTTTGTCATCATCTAGTTCAGTGTTTCTCAACCACGTTCCTGGAGGCCCACCAGCACTGCATGTTTTGGATGTCTCTTTTGTCCGTCACACCTATCACAGGTCTTTCAGTCTCTGCTAATGAGCTGATGATCTCAATCAGGTGTGTTTGGTTTTAGAGACATAGAAAATGTGCAGAGCTGGTGTTACTCCAGGAACGTGGTTGAAAACCACTGATCTACAGTAGTTGACCTGATTGATTATTATTCAGAAAATATTAATAAAACAAGTATCAGATTTTACTGTAAATAGATTACATTTTGGTCTTTAAATCATGACCGTATGGGCAACATCTTTTCCATTGCTGTACAAAACTAATAATGGTTTTATTTTCTGATTAGATCTGATCAAGCCGTTTCCTGCACAAAAGAAATCAGATTTAAGAGGAGAGCCTACAATGTTATTTTTGGCTGTTCTTTTCCTTTAAATTATGACTGTATGGACTAAACGTTTCATCTTTGTGTCTTGATATTTTCCCATTGTAATATTTGTAACTGTATCATGTTCAGATTTCATCTAATTTACAAAGAAATTACTATTTTTCACCATCTGGTTCGGTGTTTCTCAACCACGTTACTGGAGGTCCACCAGCACTGCAAGTTTTGAATGTCTCCTTTGTCTATCACACCTACTACAGGTCTTTCAGTCTCTGCTAATGAGCTGATAATCTCAATTAGCTGTGTTTGGTTATAGAGACAGAAATGTGCAGAGCTGGTGGTGCTCCAGAAATGTGGTTGAGAAACACTGATCAATTTGACCTGATTGATTATTATTCTGAAAATATATATATATAAAAAAGAAGCATCTCAAACATAGACAGATTTTGGAGCAAAATCAGAGCAAATAGGTTATATGTCAAATTAAACAATTTTCAGATATAATCCAATCAGGTTTAGTTCAGTACAGCAAAATCTGTATGACCTTTATTTTGAACGCTACAGATTGAAATCCAGAGTTAACATTAAATGAAAGTGAATGTCAACATTTTGTTACTCAAGCATAAATAAAAGAAGTTAAATTATGGTAAATTTGTGCGAGTGGATTTTTGGCTAACCTGTCACTTTGTGTGTGTGTGTGTGTGTGTGTGTGTGTGTGTATATATATATATATATATATATATATATATATTTTTTTTTTTTTTTTTTTAATTATAATAGCATGAGGGCGGGTTGCAACTTTTTGTTTTGTCTTAAAGTATTCCAACTGTGATTTATGAATAGTATTGTTCCTCCACTTTAACTTTATGGCAAAATTTTATACATCGAAACAAGAACGACTTGATCTGATTCCTGCATCTCATAAAATAAATGTGAATATTGACTGAGACTAACATTTCATGTCAGATTATGAATGAAATCAAAGCTGAACAGAATAAATTTTTAGTTGGACTGTCACCTTAAATCACAATTGGATTGACAAGGTACTTCTGATAATGGTTTTAAAACTATTGTGTATTCCAGTTCACCCAAAGTATGTAATTCTGTCATGATTTACTCCTCCTCTTTGTGTGAAAACATTAGGATTCACAAAAACACATTTTATAAAATTAGTTTGCATTAAACGGGTTTGTAAAAAGATGATGGTGAGGAAATAATGACTTTTAAAGATTTTTGGACGCACCGTCCCTTTAAATCAGGGGTGTCTAAACTCGGTCCTGGAGGGCCGGTGTCCTGCAAAGATTAGCTTAAACTTCCTTCAACACACCTGCCTGGATGTTTCTAGTATACCTAAAAAGAGCTTGATTAGCTGGTTCAGGTGTGTTTAATCGAGGTCACAACTAAAATATGCAGGACACCGGCCCTCCAGGATCAAGTTTGGACACCCCTGCTTTAAATTAAAGGGGTAGTTCACCCAAAACTGAAAATTCTGTCATCACTTACTGTTGATCCAAACTTGTTTGACTTTTTTCATCTGTTAAACACAAAAGAAGATATTTATATATAATATCTCTAAGTTTATATATATATAATAAAAATATAATAAGAATAATTCGGAAACCGGTAACCATTGACTACCATAGTATGCTTTTCCTACAAAGGAAGTCAATGGTTACCTGTTTATGAATATTTCAAAATGTCTTCTTCTGTTCCCTTGTTTTCCTCTATTCTAGTAAACCAAAAAAAAGATACTTTGAAGAATGTTGAAAACCGGTAATCATTAACCAGTTACACAGTTTGTACACTGTTAAAACATCTGTTAATGAACAGTTTTCATTATTTTGTAATTCATGTTGTATTTTTTTATTATTTATGATTTGAATCGCAATATGAGATCTTTATCTTTCTTCTGACAACCTTTAACCTTAAAAAGTTGTGAAAAGTGACTATGAAAAATTTTAATAGTTTAAAGTGATAAGGTATCTGGGATTGTATTGTATTTTATGCTGCAAAAACCTGGTAATAAACTGCCAGTACTTCTTCTGTTTTTTACAGACCTATTTATATATTACTTCTTAAACATTTTACTATTTCAAACAACTAAAAATGTCAACAAAAGTCACTTTGTTATACTGTAGAGTTGAATTTTTAACATTAAAAGCTGACAGAGCAGAGATCAACATCCCATAATGCAATTCACAACCGTAAATAAACCGAAAACACACAAACGGTTAATTAACAGATATATTTTAGAGTACAAAGGAAGTCAATGGTTACCCGTTTTCAACATTCTTCAAAGTATCTTCTTTTTTGGTTTATCAGAATAAACAACTTCACAATATTGAGCAATCTTTCATTTTTGGTTGAACTTTCCCTTCAAAGACAAGTAAAAGGCAGTGAAGACAAAGCAATGGGAAACAGTAAGGGGAATATTTTAAGGGAAATGCCTGAATAAGGAGTGTTCTGAATCCTGTCACATATGCTCGGGCTTTTGATATTGCACTGAAACTCAAATGTTGATCTATCCTTGATGCCCCTCAGTATATGTTTATATTTATATATATATATATATATATATATATATATATATATATATATATATATATATATATATATATATATATATATATATATATATAGTCTTAATTGTCACATTAATGGTCACATACTGTAACTCCAGCTTCTCTGGCATGCACATTCACAGTCCTTCTCGTCCCCTCGCTTTCTCATTTCATCGGCGTCCTCTCAAAATTAGGGTGAGCACTAATAAAAAAAAAAAACAAACCGAAAAATAAAACATTTACTCCAGTTTTAATATGGGTTGATTTGTTTGTAGTGTTATAATCCGTTTTCTATATTTAAACATTCTCTCTCACACACACGCACGCACGCACGCACGCACACACACACACGCAAAACCAGACAGAAACGCTTCAATAGAGCTTCAATAGTCACATGATCAATCCTACATAAATCCAGATTCTGGCATCCTGCAGCTCGCACGCTTTCTTTCCGCTTCTCTATTTGTTCATGTCACAACAATGCATTCCTATTGGCTGAGGAGGAGCAGGATGTAAACACTGTGTAGTCGTCGTCGTCATAATCAAAAAACAGCATCTCTAAGTCGTTCGTTTCATATTCAGTAGTTCCATAATGCTTTTGAAGTGCATTTGTTTTCTATAGATCCAAACATGACATATTTTACATGGTAGCTCCTTGATGTTTCTTCGTGTGTATCCGTTTTTTTGTTGCATTGTATTTTATTTTTTGTGCAACTTGTTCAGGTCCATTCGGCTGCCAGGCAAGCGCTCCGTGAACCAGCCACGCCCCTCAGTGGCGTGAAGCAGGGGAAAGGCGCAGTTTAGAGGTTGGCTGACAGCTCGATTCTCTGTGATGTCACTCAGAGGCTCCTCCTTCTGTCAGAGGATGACGCAGCAGCGGCACAGACGCTGACCTCCGCCGTGCACTGATGGAGGTGGCGTGACCGGGGCAAAGTAAGCGTGGACTTTAATCTCAGGAAGGTGAGCCTATAGGAGAAACAAGAGCAGAATGAGATACAATTGATTGATCCCGTTTCAAAACACTGCTGTGACGTTTAACGGCCATCAGCATCTTAAATCCTCCATTTAGATCATTCGAAACTTATGGACATGTACTTATTATTTTATAACAGAAGAAACTCAAATGGTGCGTTCACACCAGATGTGGATGAAGTGCTAAGTGCGAGTGATATACATGTTAAGTCAATTCAAAGACGTGAATGAGGTGGTGTAATTGACACGATTAACCAATCAGAAGCTTGCTCTTCTAGGGGCGTGATTCTGACAGAGCGCCTGTTGTTGGTGTCCCGAAGCGAAATCTGACCCCTGACCCCGGACAACAGCTCATCAAACTGAGCTCGGTTCAGTCAGAAGCACCGCCGAAAGCCTCCATCATTCAGGTATAGTTTCTGGAGCAGTTGATGAAGTCTCAGAGCTGGGTGCACCTCTGAAAGGATCTAGTGGACTCAGACAGGGCGTCGAACAAATCTATGCTGTTTTTCAGCCTTCCTAAAGCACATAAACACTATTGGTGCAACGGTTCAATCTACTCATGGTTTGGTATGTATCACGGTTTTGGTACGGTACAAAAAAAGGCTACAGAAAAATTCAAAGAACAATATACATATTTATTGGGTAACAAACAACTGACAATGAAACAGGATTCACACATGACTGTGGATTTGCATGTTCTCGCTTCAATTAAGTAAAAGTAGGGCAATTTGAAAATTGTATGTTCAAATAAAACGTTTAAGAAAAATAAAGAGAGAAAAAGCTTTAATTTCCCCTTTTTCTAATTTACTTTCTTTTTCCCCATACTGACACAATAAATAAAATAAAACATATTTATTATCTGTTTTTTGTCCCGTCTCTGTAATTTTGCTGCACTGTAGAAGGTTTGTCACAAAAACAAATTCCTTGTATGTGTGAACACACCTGGCAATAAAGCTTTTTCTGATTCTGATACAACAGTCTCAACCAATGGGTTTTATGCCGAAGCATGCTTATAGGACTTTTAATTTGCCAGTAACCTGGGTTAAGCGCTTCCGGTGAACTTTATGCCAATGCAAAAATTACATTTCTTTAAAATCCAATATATGATATAAAGTGGGTCTCAGATTGTACAGGCACTGCATTAAATTACATTTTTCCCCGCCATGCCTTTATAATATGAGCATTTATTTTACCCCAGTATATTCAAAGGAGCTTGTGCGCTAGCCTGCCGATTCTGACGGAGGCGTGCGAGTAAAAGGCCTTTTGTCTCGTTTTACGCTTGAACAACTAAATGAATGCCAACGTTTATTTAACTGAATGTGTTTTAATTACATTACAACATCGATGCTGTTAAAGGAACCGTATAAAATGGAAAAAAATTTACAATAACAGGTTACTGGAAGTTTATCAGTATGGGAACAACACTAGCTCAGCATATGCCCTATTATACAGATAATAATTGTCAACGCATCTAAATAATTGAGCACTTTTAGAGTATTGATTACTCCGTTTACATTATGCTTGCATTACCAAGGCAACATCGCATGTTTGTAACCAATAATCCAGGGAGCTCCGTTATCACTCATCAGCACCATGAATGAAACTTAAGCCAAGAGAAAGTGTTCAGCTCTTCTCTCTCGTCTTAATTCAGCAGGAACAGTCAGTTGAGAAGAAATCTAAGTTGACAGCTGGTAAATGGAGTGAATAAATAGTGGGAGCGATCGGAAGCGAACGAACATCCAGTGCGAGCGAGACTGAAGTAACAGACCTGTTAAGATGTCTGGGTCCATATGGGACACTTCTGGGTCTGGATACGGACATCGAGCCACCTGTTATTGACCACTAATGTAGGCTAACTTTACAAAAAAATTATTTATATATTTTTAAATCGGCATTCGCTATTTTTGTGTCTGTCTGAATTTACAATGAGTGTCTGTTGAAACACTGACGGCAATGTGCTGTGCTTTGGAACTTTATATCCATCACTTGCCATGCTGAGAAACTCCACACACCGGCACGTGAGGAAACGATGTCATCAACAACTTTACATACTAAGAGGTGATTGGACAGGTCTTTGCAAGTGCAATGCATGTGAAAGGTAATCCGAAGCACAAAGGCGAAACTTTTTTTGCTTTGTTGCTGTTTTGATCACCAAACCAATATTAATACTGCATATTCTGAACCACAGATCACAGGATACACCGAATCATGGGAGGACAACAGGACGATAGTTTTTTATTTATTTTTTACTGAGAACAGTTGTATTCCTAATATACACAGCTATTATCTCAATAAAATCCATGTTAGCTATTTAGCAATGTAACTAGAGTCAGCAGGCAGAGAGAAGCTCTGCACATGATGCAAATCCACGCCTGCTGTGAAGTGACATTCACGCACGAATAAAGCGAATATGGCGCTCGAAGTGAGTAAACTCAAAATGTTCACAGATCTATTGACGTGCAAACAGCACAATTTATTTGCACAAGCTGCATCTGGTGTGAACACACCATAACAGATTTGCAACGAGTGAAGTGAACTATCCCTTTAATAGAGGTTAAGTCACTTCTTTGGCGAAGGCGGTCACATTTTTTTCCCCTCCCTCCCATATCTCTCCTGGCTTGCTGGGGCTATTTTCCCGCCTGATCTCACACCGAGTTTGAGGGGATTTTTTTGGCTCCCTCTTCCCAAATGTATCATATTTAATTTTTCTAAAAAATACCTCTCGACTGACCCGTCTTCCCCTAAAATATGTGATGCTTGTGTATGGTCGGAGGGGTCCAATTTCGCTACATGTAAAAGTGTATGTGACAAATAAAGCATTTTTCCATCATCATCATCATCATTATCACCATCATCATCATATTTCATTACAGTTTGAGAATTTAACATTGCGATAATTTGAGTTTTGTGAGTTGTGACACATCTAGCCATTTATTCTGTTGAACACAAAACAAGAAGTTTTGGAGAAAGCTGAAAACCTGTAACCATTGACTTCCACAGTATTTGTTTTTCCCTCTATGAATGTCAATGGTTACAGGTCTTCAGCATTTTCAAAACATCTTCTTTATTGTTCAAAAGAAGAAAGAGACTCATAAAAGTTTGAAACAAGTGAAGAGCTCTATGGCTTTATCAGAGGAATGTGATGATTTAACATGTGACTGCACAAGTGTGTTTTGTGACAGATGTAGCGCTTGTTTAGTGACAGACCCGGATTCGTTTGATGCCGGCGCGGGACACCTGCTGGCAGTCGTAGAGCTCGATGCGCTCCAGCCGCTGGCAGTTCTTGAGGTGCTCCAGAGTGATGTCTGTGATCAGCGGGCAGTTGTCCAGCTCCACCACCTGCAGGCGCTCCTGACCGCACACACTGCTGCTCAGGTGGCGGATCCCATCATCTGTGATCAGCTCGCAGTGAGACAAGCTCTGCAAAACACACACACACATACGCAAATACACACACAGACAGAGACACACATACACACAGAGTGGGATGCAGAAACAAATGTGCTGTCTCTGTAATTTCTCTCCAGAAAGCCAGAAATAAGCAGCAGGAAAGCAAAACTCCCACACAGTTGAGGCACTCACCAGCGCCTGCAGCCGAGGGCAGTGGATGGAGAGCTGAACCAGAGTGTTATCAGTCACCTGAATGGGAGACACACAGACACAGCTTTATTATTAGCATACTGACTAACCAGGACAAACGATTGCAGACACAGCAGACCATTAAAAAAATGTCACAGCTATATCACTCTTCAGCCCAAGACCGGTTACTCACTGAAGCTAAGCAGGGCTGAACCTGGTCAGTACCTGGATGGGAAACCACATGGAAAAGCTAGGTTGCTATTGGAAGTGGTGTTAATGAGGCCAGCAGGGGGTGCTCAACCAGTCTGCTTGAGTTCTAATGGCCTAGTATTATGGCATTTACATTTACATTTAGTCATTTAGCAGACGCTTTTATCCAAAGTGACTTACAAATGAGGACAAGGAAGCAATTTACACAACTAAGAGCAACAATGAATCAGTGCTATAGGCAAGTTTCAGGTCTGTAAAGTCTAAGAAGGAAAGTATTAGTAGTATTATTTTTTTTTTTTTTGGGGGGTACAGTTAGTGTGATATTCAGAGAGCAATTGCAGATTAGGAAGTGAAGTGGAGACTTATGAAGGGGACCCTATACTGCCAGTAAGCGCTGTCTTACAGGTGAGACGCTAAACCAAGGTCCTGACTCTCTGTGGTCATTGAAAATCCCATGGCACTTTTCGTATAGGAGTAGGGGTGTAGCCCCGGTGTCCTGGCCAAAGTCCCTCCATCGGCTCTTAACCATCATGGCCTCCCAATCATCCCCATTCCCCAACTGGATAATGCACACTGGTGGTGGTGTGGAGAGACCCCCCTCATGACTGTAAAGCGCTTTTGGTGTATGGCCATACGCGATAAATACACTATATAAATCCACATTACATTACATTTCTTTAAAAAAAAGTTTGAAATGGTTTAACAGAAAAATAAAAACACTATTATTTATAAAAAGTATGTAAAATATAATATAATATTAATAATAATAATAATATAGCTGCAATAAATACATTACAGATTATGCAGTATTTACTATCATTATTTACTGAAATATTTTAATAACAATAAATATACAGATGAAGTCAGCATTATTAGCCCTCGTGTATAATTTCTCCCCAATTTCGGTTTAACAGAAAGAAGATTTTTACACATTTCTAACCATAACATTTTTATTAACTCATTTTTATTAACTAATTTATTTTATCTTTGCCAATATGACAGTATATAATATTTGAGTAGATATTTTTTCAAGATACTAGTATTTTGCTTAAAGTGACATTTAAAGACTTAACTAGGTTAATTTGGCAAGTTAGGGCAACAAGGTAAGTCATTGTATAACGATGGTTTGTTCTGTAAACAATCAAAATAAAATATTGCTTAAGAGGGACAATAATGTTGACCTCAAAATGTTTTTTAAAAAATGAAAAAATTTAATAAAAATATTCTAGCCAAAATAAAACAAATAGGACTTTCTCCAGAAGAAAAAATATTATCAGAAATACTGTGAAAACTTCATTTCTCTGTTAAACATCCTTTGGGAAATATTTGAAAAAAAATTTCACAGGAGTGTGATTAAAAATAATAATATTTATTATTATTATTATTATTATTATTATTATTATTATCATTATTATTATTGTAGTAATATTAATAAAAATAATAATAATAATTCCTTACATTTATATTGTGCTTTTCTGGGGAGATCTCCTCATCCACCTGGATGATGAGACAGCAGCCATATTGCGTAGTAGAACAGAAGAATATAGCTATTTTATATTAAGCTAGATGCATGAACGCATGTCTAGATATTTATATCCTATTTAGAACAATATCTATTAAAATTTACGTTTTTCTGAATTATTCTCATGTATTTACATTATATGACGCACATGTTATTGGTTAGTTATTTTATTTGACCAAAACAGCACACATTTTATACTTTCAAAACAAATATTAAGCTTCATCAGTAGTTAGAACTATTCAGTTTGCAAAACATTTGTATTACTACCTCAGCTTCAGCTCTTCAAAATAATGAATACATGACGACAGAGCAGTGGGGGGACTTTTTTTAACACTTGTCGTGTGACAACACAACCACTCCCACCTGCCGGTAGAAACAGGTACTGCTGAACAGCTGACTATTTAAATAAACGACACAAAAACTGCATGAAGTGGAAAAAGAGCAATATATGTGGTAAATTTAGGTACTTGGATAACTAAAAAAATGTTATACAACCTTTTCCTACAAAGCTAAATAAACCCTACTCTATTCAAAGACCATCCTGGAATTTTTAGTGTACACAGAGAGTCAGGACCTCAGTTTAACATCTCATCCGAAAGACAATGCTCACTGAGCAATATAGTCCCATCAATATACTGGGGCATTAGGAACCACACAGACCGAGGGTTGAGCACCCGCTGCTGGTCTCACTAACACCACTTCTGGCAGCAACCTAGCTTTCCCATGTGGTAACTTATCCAGGTACTGACCAGACACAGTCCTGCGACCATGTGAGAGATGCAGAGAGCAAGCTGCTGGTGAATAATTTTGCCTTCAACTGTATATACAGCAAATGCCCCCAAAAATGTAAACACGTCCATAACTACACACTATTTTCAGAATTAGGAGGTGAAAACTCACCAAAATACATTCCTCTAAATCCATCTTCTCCATCTCATGACAATTCTACAACAGGAAGCAGAGTTACTTTGAGAATAGTGTCTCGCAGCTCATATCAATGTTTTCAGTCTCTATGCTTGTTTCTGTTGTTTCAGTGTTGTTATGTGTGTTTACTCACTCTGGCAAGAACAGTAAAACCAGCATCAGTCACATGTGAGCAGCGAGCAGCCTCCAGGATCCTGCAGAAAACACACAGCATGAATGACTGAACGAGTGTACCTTTGTCTCTGAGTGTGTGTGTGTGTGTGTGTGTACAGATGAAGAAAGCTTTACTTGAGCCGCTGGCAGTTGAGGCCGAGGGCAGTCAGAGAAGCGTCTGTGATGTTGCTGCAGCCAGAAATGCAAACCATCTGCAGCTTGTGGCAACCCCGACACAAACTCACAAAGCCGTCGTCTGTGATTTGCTGCAAGATGGAGGAAGCATATTAAAACACTCATTTGAATTGTGTGTGTTTGTTTTTCTTAAAGTCTGGGTAAAGCGAACTCTGAGAACTGTTTCTAAAGACATTACAGATGTTAGAAGGCTTGTTTATGCTTCTGCATTTATAGTTCTCGTGCTGTGTGATGTGCTCTGCAATAACACTTCTGAAGCACTAGCTGGCAGTGAGGTTTTCATGCTCCTCTGTGTCGAGTTTCTTTGCGGGTATTTTGTTTTTTCTGAACGCTACCTTAATGTACAGGGTGGGCCGTTTATATGGATACACCTTAATAACATGGGAAGGGTTGGTGATATTAACGTCCTGTTTGTGGCACATTAGTATATGTGAGGGGGCCAACCTTTTCAAGATGGGTGGTGGCCACAGTGGCTATTTTGAAGTCGGCCATCTTTGATCCAACTTTTGTTTTTTGTTTTTTAATAGGAAGAGGGTCATGCGACACATCAAACTCATTGGGAATTTCACAAGAAAAACAATGGTGTGCTTGTTTGTAACGTAACTTTATTCTTTCATGAGCTATTTACAAGTTTCTGACCACTTTTAAAATGTTTAATGTGCTGTCCATTGTGTTGGATTGTCAATGCAACCCTCTTCTCCCATTCTTCACACACTGATAGCAACACCCCTGGAGAAACGCCAGCACAGGCTTCCAGTAGCCGTAGTTTGAGGTGCTGCACATCTTGCATCGTCACACTATAGACAATGGCCTTCAGATGACCCCAAAGGTTAAAGTTTAAGGGGGTCAGATCGGGAGACCTAGGGGGCCATTTAGCTGGCCCATGACCACCAATCCACTTTTCAGGAAACTGTCCATATAGGAATGCTCGGACCTGACACCCATAATGTGGTGGTGCACCATCTTGCTGGAAAAACTCAGGGAACGTACCAGCTTCAGTGCATAAAGAGGGAAACACATCATCATGTAGCAATGTCAGTGGCCTTGAGGTTTCCATTGATGAAGAATGGACCTACTATCTTTGTTGTCTATGGTGTGAAGATACAAGATGTGCAGCACTTGAAACTACGGATACTGGAAGCCTGTGCTGGCATTTCTCCTGCGGTGTTGCTATTACATATTTTATTTAATCCTTAATTCAAATGACTCATTCAAAATGGCTGATTTATTTATAAACAAAGCAAATGACTTCATTACTGGATCTTTTATTTGATCACTGAATTATTGATTTTAATGATTCATTAAAAAAACAGATTGATTCAGAAACAAAACACTTCAGTGTTGCTCTGAGATGCACGAGGAAAAAACAACAACACTCAGCTCGCATATCATGTATGCACATTAAACATCACACATCCACACTTATTCTGTATATAGTAAATAAAAAGTCTTACCGTGCATGATTGCATGTTGATTGTCATGAGTTCGGGACAGTGCTTTTGAAGGTGCTTCAGTGCAGTATCATCAAGCTGAAATGCATAGGAGTATTATTAAAAGTGCCGACATCAATTAATATTTTGCACTTTTATAATGTATACAGTTGAAATCAGAATTATTAGAACCCTTGAATTATTAGAAATTGGAGGGAAAATAAATAAGTGGTCTGTTTAATGGAGAGCAGATTTCTTCAACATTTCTAAACATAATAGTTTTAATAACTCATCTCTAATAACTGATTAATTTTATCTTGATGACAGTAAATAATATTTGACTAGATATTTTTCAAGACACTTCTATGCAGCTTAAAGTGACATTTAAAGGCTTAACTGGGTTAATTAGGTTAACTAGGCAGGTTAGGGTAAATAGGCAAGTTATTGTATAATGATGGTTTGTTCTGTAGACTATCGAAAAAAAATAGCTTAAAGGGGCTAATAATTTTGTCCCTAAAATGGTGTTTAAAAAATTAAAAACTGCTTTTATTCTATCTGAAATAAACCAAATAAGACTTTCTCCAGAAGAAAAAATATTATCAGACATACTGTGAAAATTTCCTGAATCTGTTAAACATCATTTGGAAAACATTTAAAAAAAGAAGAACAATTTTGAAGGGGGCTAATAATTCTGACTTCGACTGTATGTACAATGTTGTCAAGTGGAAAGTATTTTGGTTGCATTTTGAATTATTTTATTGCAGTAGTTTGTCCACAAAAAGTCAAGACTGAACCAGGGCATTGTTTCATTGTTGTAAAAGACATTTACAAGGCAAATCAGGATTAAGAACTGATTTAGAACTACTGAACACCGCAAAAATGCTAATGAACGTATAAGAAAGATTGAAAATATACACAAAATTGGTTTTATTAAAGAGTAAAAATACATTTTTGCTGACAAGAATAAAACTACATACCTTATTATTATTTTTACCCTTATTATTATTTGCTAATGACTTTTTCTTCTCTTTAAAAAACAAAGAACAAAGATAATGATATGTAACAATTTGTATTGTAATAGTGTTTGTTTTTCGCAATAAAAATTGAACATAGAATGAATCTACACAGCATGCATGTGTCAGGAGTTTGTGCACATTAATAAACTACACTAGGTGCTTGATTGAACATGCACATCAAAATGCATAATAAAGTATATTTTTGGGCTTTACATGAATTGGTTTTGCACCTATAGTGTACCTGTGTGCATCCTCTCAGAAACAGAGCTCTGAGAGCTGTGCAGCCGCGGCTGAGAGCCTCAATGCCATCACTCGTGATCTGATCACACCAGGACAGATTCAGGTTCTCCAACATCCGACAGCCCTCACTAGCCAACAGAAAACACAAATAAAGAGAGTTAATGCTGGTAACACTGCACAGTAAGGTCCTGTAGTTCATTTGTCAGTCAAAATCACTTTAAACGCAGTCACATGGCAACAGTCTGGGATTATAGCCAGCTTTTAATGTAAAAATCTATTCATTTTATTTTTTATAAATCACACTTCATAAAACAGTCTGCAGAAACACTTTGATTGACATTCTCTCTTTGTGGGTGTCAATAAAAGGGGGAAAGCCCCGCCCATTTAGTGATCGTCTCTCCCTCATTAGCATATGAGGTTCTTGTTTTTGAATTTGCCATTATACTGACACAGGCATTTGTAGCTCTGCCCTCCTTTAAAAAGAGCACAATTTCATTTGAAGTTAAAGCAACAGTCACCAAAATGGCACAATTAGGATTAAATAGGTTTCAAAGGGTTTTAAATCATTATTTGTGGGGTATTCTCAGCTAAAAAATTACTCTCTAGGGATATCAGAGATTTATTTTACATCTTGTAAACAATAGGTTCCTTTTAATGCATGCAAATAAAAAATGCATTCATGCTAAAGTCCCCATGAACCAGAAGCTGTGATTATTTTTTTTCCTATTGTGACGCAGTACTTAAAGCATTAAATGAGAAAACAGTGGCCGTGGCTTGTTTTTTCTGCTGCGAGCTGAATGGTTGTAGTAAAGTAGGCTTTTCATTCAGAAAGATTGGCAAAGGGGTTTGGGGAGAGTTGTTACAACCTAACAGACGCTCACCATTTCTGTTTGTCGTCAAAACTGACAGTTGGAGGGGCGTGGTTAAGTGTGTAAGCCCCGCCCAATACCTCAGTCACGTATTCTGACAATATAACTAAAAAAAATAAACAGGAAGTGCATTTTTAGATTTCAATTTTTTTTTCTTAATTACATAAACAGATTAATTGTTCAACACAAAACTAGCAGCGTGAGCTAACAAAATAAATGTTTAATTTATTTTCATGGGACTTTAAGGCAAGCTCACACTGTGCGATTTTTTATAATTCTGAACGATAGTAGCATATCAGACTGAATGAACATGGCTCCCATGTCACACTGTAAGATCTCAGCCGTCATAATGTCTTGGATTGACGCTCATCACAGCTGTTGTCACACTGCAGGAAAGTGTCTGAAATCTTGTGACACTGCCAGAACTTCATCGGAGGAAGATCTGATCACAACAGGCATTAAGCGACTGTCTGTGAACATCAAACAATGATCAATGATCCCAGATTTTAGCCTAGGATTTCAGGAATCTTTTAGGATTTCCCAAATTCGTCTCAGATGACAATATCATGGCTGAAGTCTCACACTGTGAGCAGGGCTTTAGGTCATTTTAAATACATCAAAAGAGAAAATTGAGGTTTTAATAATGTGTAATTAATGTTTTAATTGTTAGTTCATTCGGTGAACAAATTTGAATGAACTAAAATTTTTCATAAAGTGTAAGCAAAATATCTTAAAACACCACGGCACTACTCAAAACTAACAAACTGTTGTTAGTTGTTAAAAGGAAAAAATGTCATTACATGTTGAAGATCAATAAACCATTTGTTATTTTTCTTCTAAATATTAATACCAACGTAATGAACCTAATTTCTATTACTTATTTATTAAATGTTTTCTAAATGCTTTCTTGTCTTTCCAACAATACCATGGGGGAAGGAAATCAGACATGACCTGAAATGTGTAACAATGAGTTAATAATTGTTCTTCAGTCACAGTTTAAATATTCCCTCCCAGAACTTCCTGTTTCGCCGGCTTGTACAGTCAAATCTACTACAACTGTGGAAAACATTCATTAAATAAAGGTGACAGAGGTGACCCACTTTATAATCATTAACACAGCCGCTCTCTTCACACAGATATATACACTAGATATCACATAGGGACCCTGAACATGCGTCAATAGCGCCGCCACATTTGTACAGTGCTCCCAGGACAAATGAATATCAATCACACTAGTCAAGACAGTGTGCCAACGTAAACATGTTGGACTTTAGTGTTGTGTACGGGTGTATTAACGAGCAAACAAAGAAAACAAAGAACACAAGCAGAACATTTTATAGGTAAGATTTGTTATGAACTTTTGTCCTAAATATTGATGATAATACAGTCACTTAGCCTACAGCACTGACCATAAGGTTAAGTAGCACCAACTCGCACTAAATAACTGGCTTATGCTAGTTTTGTTGAATAAAATAAGCAAACAATGCAAAAAAATGGCTGAAAAAAACAGCTTAAACCAGCCTAGGCTGGTTGGCTGGTTTTAGCTGGTCAACTAGCCTGGTTTTAGAGGGGTTTTGGCCATTTTTAGGCTGGTTTCCAGCCATTTCCAGCCTGGTCTTAGCTGGTCAGGCTGGGAGACAACCAACTAAATCCAGATTGACCAGCCTAGCCAGAAACTTGTATTATTTTCGGCTAAGTGAGCGAGTCGTTCATAACGGGGATTCATTTACAAACGAATCGCTCCCTCCGTCAAAATAAGTAGTGAAAGCAGGAGAGGAGCTGTGTTTCAGGAATTGGATTAAATCAAATTTAACAGGGAGGGTGGACAGTACATTTCCATGCACACAAACACAAGCTTTTTGTCAGGAATGCCCATGTGGTCACTTATTCATCAATGTAGAAGAGTGATGTATAATTATATATTTAAAAAAAGTATTTAAATATTTATAATTAAATAAAACTGCATACTGACCACTGGGAAAACTCCCGATCATAGACATATGTGTATATCTCTGGCTCTAGATGGTCACAGTCCTCGACCACAGCTTGGTCCCTCATTCATTTCACAGGATACTACCCTGTACTAAAATGGCGGCTCTATTGACGCATTCCTTCCAATAGACAACAACAGGGTAGGCGACATCTAATGTAAATATCTATGGATTCAGCACCCTGGTTTCACATTGAAGAATCGTAGTTTGTGCTTTTTTGTTCATTTGAGGTCAACCACATGTTAATATTCATTAAGAAAATTTAATTGAAGTATTTAAAATCACGTGTAAAATATCTCTTATGTACATGATTCCCAGCTTAAGGTAAGACACTGGAAGCGAATAGGGTAAAATAAATAAAAAAATTAATAATTATCATACTTACAAATCCCTCCATGATTTTGCAGGGACTATATTTTTTTTATATTAGTCTCTCTCGCTCTCTCTCTCTGTAATTTTTTTTTTATATACATAATTGGTTTTGTCTCCTGTCGACGTTGATGGGAACAGGCAAAAGATCCGGACGAACAATAAATCATTTAAACGACTCAGAGTCGAATCTTTTATTTTTGATTTGATTTTCATTGAAACACAATGCATTTTCAGATTTAACCCTCAGCTGGATGTTTCCTTTCACTTAGAGCTGTGTTGCACACTGCATAGAAGCCCCTAATAGAGGCTCTTAAATGTTTTTAGTGTAAATTGTGACTTGAAATAAAGGGCTACCAAAACATTTAAGTGCACTTTGAATAAAACACTGGAAAAAAGTCCAAAATGCAAAAAAAACAACAACTCAAAACCGAGAGGTGCATGTACATGGTTTCTAGCTTTAACCAACACAAAGTTCTGCTCTCAGGCCCCGTTTACACTGGAAAGTTTTAGTTTTAAAACAGCATTTTAGAATGAAAACTATACGCATCCACACCAGTGTTTCTGAACAGCTCTCCGTCTACACCACACCACTAAAAACGCACATCACGTGACCACACACACACACACACACACACGCACACGCACACGCACACACACACACACACACACACACACAGGCATGCGCTGCAGTATATCTAGCCAGATCAGAGCTGTGCTCGTCGCACTGTTCATCAAGTATCTAGCGCTGGATCTCATCTCACTATACTTGTTAATCATGATATATAATTCATCTTGTTGTCTATATCCGACCACATATTCCCTGAGTTTAGTCTTATGTATCTATTACTTGTTCTCAGGTAACGTGTTTTGGCTGAGCGCAAAGATAAGTTAATAATTAATGTAACCACGAACATTCAGTATATTCACTGATTAGCTGCCTTAATTTTCTATAATGTATAAACTTATTGTACGTTACTTTTATAATGGTCATTATTGATTATTAAAACTGATATTCAGCTAAAGAGAGGGTATGTTTCGTATTTTCAATGAAAATGAAAGGAGGCAGTTGTTATAGGCTCCGCTTTGTTATAAATATGCACACAGTGAAGATGACGCTCATATATGCAGCACAACACCTCAACATTTCTGCTGTCTGTTAAGTTGTTAATATCAAAATGAAAATAGGCAGTTCCTTGTATTATGTTTTCATTTTATTGTTAAGAAAGTGAACCAACGTACGTATTTAGGATGATGTTAAAAAGGTTATAAAGTACACTGTTCCCTATGAAGATTTACCCGACATGTCCTCGGGTGTCTGTTTTCTATATCAAACTTGCGAAGTCTGAACTTACAAAGAGAGGAAGCAGGACTGAGCTGTGTGTACGCTACGTAATATTGAGAAAAAGCCTCAATCAGAGAGGCGAATATCGGCAGCCCCGCCTTTGTTTTCAGATGTCTCCATTTTTCCCCGTCCACACTGAGACGGAGCAGCAGCGTTTCAGAATGAAAACAGTCTCTTCAGCATTTGCAAAACACTCTGTTTTCGGCGCTCGAAAACTCTAGCGTAGTTTGGTTAGATGGCGTAACCGTTGCAGAACTTAAGTGTATTAAAACGAAAACACAGTGTAAACGGGGCCTCAGTCTTTATGAATACCCTCACCTTAAGGCCTTGAGTGCATGATTGGTGATGGAGACGCAGGAGGTCAGGTCAAGGTGGCGCAGTTTGAAGCAGAACTTGCTAAGGCTGATGCAGGTGGAGTCTGTGATCTTGGTGCAGCCGTTGAGGTTCAGATGTTCAATGTTACGACAGTTCTGAGCGAAGGTCCTGTCAGAGCAAAACAAACCTCTCAGTTGGAGTTGTTAAACTGTAAAAGTGTCCACTAAAACAGCAACATGGACATTGCAAAACATCGACAGAAAATCATTAAACAGCTAAAGTCAAAATTATTTGCCCTCTGTGAAATTAATTTTCTTTTTTTTAAATATTTCTCAAAGGATATTAAATGGAGCACAGAACTTTTAACAGTATTTCTGATAATAATTTTTCTTCTTGAAAAAGTCTTCTTTGGTTTATTTTGACTAGAATAAAAGTAGTTTTTAATTTTTAAGAAAAAACATTTTAAGGTCAATATTATTGACCCAATTAAGCAAAATGTTTTTCAATTGTTTACAGAACAAACCATCGTTAAACAATGATTCGCCTAATTTCTGTTAAACAGAAATTGGGGGAAATATGCAGGAGGCTAATAATTCAGAACGGCTAATAATTCAGGCAACAAATATAAACAAGTCAGGGTTTGTATTAAAAGGAAAATACATTAGAAATTAAATAAATAACAGGAAAAGAAAAACTCTGGGGTGGAAAATGACCTTTATACACCTCTAATATCTTTTAGTACGTTTTAGTCTATCTATTAACCGCATTTATGTTTAATAACAATAGTATGATATCTCACTTCATGGAGGCGTCTCCGACACTGAGGCAACCCCGGAGACTGAGCTGCCTCAAAAAACCTCCACATCGCTTTGAGATGTTCTCCACAACCCGACCCTGAGAGAAAGAAAGATTTACTTTATTTCATACCATATTAATAATACCCCAATTAACAAAAATGTGTTTTACTCAAGCCATTTTGTAAATATTAGTTCTCCTTCTTTAACGGAGCCATCATATCTTTATAAATCCACACATTTTCAAGTTCTTCAATATTCTTGACATTGAAATAGATTCTCATTTTAATTAAACTCTTAAAAACTTGCACCATGTCTCGACAAACTTCACCCTCTGTCCTTTCTTTTCTTGTTATGCAAATTGCCATGTTGGCTTTTCCTACAACAAAATTAATGATTCACTTCTCTTCCCTCTTCTTGTTTTGCAAATTTGAAACCAAAAATGAAGACAACGCTAGAAAGAAAAATAACCTTGAAATCCGCAATCATAAAGGAAAATAAGAGAGACAGAGATGCTGTTTTTATTAATATCATTCACTCTTTTATCCTAAAATGTTCATGTTTTAATTTATTATTATTTGTATTATTTCTTTTTTTTTTATTAATTAATAATACTTTTTTTTACTACAAAGTCCCTGGCGTCTGGCAGAGATCAAGACCTTTTATTACGTTTGGCTCGCTAAAGTGATCTACTCCTGGGAGGGGGTAGAAATCAGGGGCCGTGCGATTTACTTCCACATAATTAGAGCTGTAAAGCTTAACTTTTAGACCTTAGATGAAAAATCAAATCTGTTGGAGACGTCCAATAGATTAATAGGCACTGGAAAAGTCCACAGAGGGGGGGTGATCACTAGAATGGGGAAGTCCCAGAGTCTTATGCTGTTTTTATATCATCTGTTTTTATTTTATTTATACTCGTATCTTTAATTGCTGTTTATATTATGTAACTATTACTCGTCTCACAGCAAGAAGGTCGCTGGTTCGAGCCCCGGCTGGGTCAGTTGACATTTCTGTGTGGAGTTTGTATGTTCTCCCCTTGGTGGTGTGGGTTTCGGCTTCGAGTGCTCCGGTTTCCCCCACAGTCTAAACACATGTGCTGTAGGTGATTTGAGCAAGCTAAATTGGCCGTAGTGTGTACAGCCAATGTGTGTATGTCCTGGTCCTCCAGGTTGGGGGTTGAACGTTGGGCTAACAACCCACCTTATAAAAACTAGATGTTACAAAACAGCAATATGGTGCGGCTAAATATCAACTTCGATATAATTCCACCTGGGAGTAGGTTTTATTACTTACTGTGTTTACTATGTTTATTTTTTTATACACAGTTGAAGTCAGAATTATTAGCCCCCCTTTGAATTTCTTTTTTAAATGTTTCCCAAATAATGTTTAACAGTATGTCTGAAAATATTTTACCTTCTGGAGAAAGTCTTATTTGTAATAAGTCTTATAAGCCTTTTAAAAATTTTTTTTTAACCATTTTAAGGTCAAAATTATTAGCCCCTTTAAGCTATATAAGTTTACAGAACAAACAATCGTTATACAATAACTTGCCTAATAACCCTAACCTTCCTAGTTACCCTAATTAACCTAGTTAAGCCCTTAAATGTCACTGTAAGCTGTATTGAAGTGTCTTAAAAAATATCTTGTCAAATATTATTTACTGTCATCATGGCAAAGATAAAATAAATCATTTATTAGAAATGAGCTATTAAAACTATTATGTTTACAAATGTGTTGAAAAAATCTCCTCTCTGTTAAACAGAAACCAGAAAAAAAGAGAATAAATCAGGGGGGCTAATAAATCTGACTTCAACTGTATATGTATGCTCTTTAAAATGTAAACTTTATAAAGGCTTTGCAAGGCATTTGTAACGTGTCATGTCAATAAAGCAATGATTAAAAAGGAATTGAGAGAGATACTGATTATTATTTATCATCAGTCTTTTATCCTAAAACGTTAATTGTTAAATGTGCAGTTTATTCTGATGTATTATTATTATTTTTAACTATTTATTTTTATTTTATTTATTCATATTTTTATAACTTATTTTGAAATGTTTTTTTTATTTAATTTCTTTAAAAAAATTAGAACTACAATTTACTACTACTACAATTTACTGTGTTTACAGTTCTTTTCTATATATACATGTATTGACCTTATCCTCCGCAGACGAGTGGGCGCTGCCATTTGAATCTTTTTGGCACGAGACTTCCGGTCTCATTCACTTCCATACATTTTTAGACATTAAAAACTGCTTGTTTCTCTGTTTAATGTTGCAAACTGATATTTCCTTGTTATATTATTCTACTTGGTGTGTATAGTCATGCAAACATTTGTTTGTAGAGCAAGTAGTTTGACCGTTTTTTGCCGTTTAATATTCCTTGTCATTTCTCCCATAGGCGACTGAAACGGAAGTTCTAAGACAATCGCGAAAACAGGCGCACTTCCGCAATTTAGAATAAGGTCTATATATTTATATATATATATATATATATATATATATATATATATATATATATATATATATATATATATGTTCTTTTTAATGTAAACTTTGTAAATGCTTTGGCAATACATTTGTAACATTTCCATGAAGCAACTCAATTATTAATTTTCTTTCAGCTTAGTCCCTTTATTTATCGGGGGCACCACAGCGGAATGAACCGCCAACTTATCCAGCATGTTTTACACAGCGGATGCCCTTAAAGCTGCAACCCAGTGCTGGGAAACACCTATACACACTCATACACCACGGCCAATTTAGTTTATTAAATTCCCCTATAGCTTATGTGTTTGTACTGTGGGGGGAATTGGGAGCACCCGGACGAAACCAACACCAACTCGTGGACAACATGCAAACTCCACAGAGAAATGCCAACTGGTCAGCTGGGACTCAACCTTCTTGCTGTAAGGTGAGAGTGCTAACCACTGAGACACCATGTCAGCCCAATAAAGCAATTATTAAGTTGAATTGATTTGAATTGAGAGAGAGGGACAGAGAAAGAGAGAGAGAGGGACAGAGAAAGAGAGAGAAATAGAGAGAGAGAGAGAGAGAGAGAGAGAGAGAGAGAGAGAGAGAGAGAGAGAGAGAGAGAGAGAGAGAGAGAAAGAGAGAGAGAGCTCAGGCACAGAGGATCAGGGATGACGTTACTGTCTATGGATTCAGTAGAAAAGCCTACTGACCCAGTGTTAATCCTGCACACACACATACACAAACACACACACACACACACAATTTATAGCACACAACATATTGTAGATGAAGCACTCAAACATACATCGTAAAAGCCAATGACATGACAAAACATTGCTTTTTTTTTACCTCGATATCTGTCTGAAAGTTGAAGAGATCGATCTTCTGCCAGTTGCTTCCATCTAATGCGAGAACATTCCAGGCCTGTGGGTTTTTTCACAGAGAAAATGAGGAAGCAATGTTAAGCAGATTGTTAAAAGGATTGTTCACCTAAAGCTGAACATTCTGTCATCATTTACTCACCCTTCACCTGTCATAAACCTGTTTGGAGTTTCTTTCTTCTGTTGAACACAAGAGGAGATGTTTTGAAGAATGCTGGAAATGTGTAATCATTGACTTCCATAGTATTTGTTTTTCCTTCTATGGAAGTCAATGGTTGCAGGTGTCTAATATTCCTCAAAAAAAACTTCTTTTGTGTTCAACAGTAAAAAGAAAGTCGTAAAGTTTTGAACCACTGGAGGGAGGGAGAGTAAATAGTAAGCATTTTTCAACTAAAGCAGTTGACCATACCTTGGATACTTGAGCACATCTGCACAATGTAACAACATCCAGGTAGGAGAAAATCCTGAGATAAAGGATAAAGAAAGAGTATTTATACTTCTTACTTTCTTCTCTTCCATATATGCAAAAGTTAGGAAGGCAGACAGAAAAATAACACAACAATTGATAAACAACACGATATACAATGAGCGACTGTTCGGTCGGTTTGTCGAAAGATAGACAGACAGACAGACAGAGAGACAGACAGACAGACAGACAGACAGACAGACAGACAGACAGATAGACAGACAGACAGATAGACAGACGGATAGACAGACAGATAGACAGACATATAGACAGACAGACAGACAGACAGACGGATAGACAGACGGATATGTGGATAGATAGACGGACAAATAGACAAATGGATGGATAGATAGATAGATAGATAGATAGATAGATAGATAGATAGATAGATAGATAGATAGATAGATAGATAGATAGATAGATAGATAGATAGATAGATAGATAGACGGAGGGATAGACGGAGGGATAGACGGAGGGATAGACGGAGGGATAGACGGAGGGATAGACGGATGGATAGACGGAGGGATAGACAGAGGGATAGACAGTGGGATAGACAGAGGGATAGACAGAGGGATAGACAGAGGGATAGACAGAGGGATAGACAGAGGGATAGACGGATAGACAGACGGAAAGACAGACGGATAGATGGATAGACAGACGGATAGATGGATAGATAGACGGACAAATAGACAAATGGATAGATAGATAGACAGACAGACAGACAGACAGACAGACAGACAGACAGATAGACAGATAGATAGATAGATAGATAGATAGATAGATAGATAGATAGATAGATAGATAGATAGATAGATAGATAGATAGATAGATAGATAGATAGACGGAGGGATAGACAGAGGGATAGACGGAGGGATAGACGGAGGGATAGACGGAAGGATAGACGGATAGACAGACGGAAAGACAGACGGATAGATGGATAGACAGACGGATAGACAGACGGATAGATGGATAGACAGACGGACAAATAGACAAATGGATGGATAGATAGATAGATAGATAGATAGATAGATAGATAGATAGATAGATAGATAGATAGATAGATAGATAGATAGATAGATAGACGGAGGGATAGACGGAGGGATAGACGGAGGGATAGACGGAGGGATAGACAGAGGGATAGACAGAGGGATAGACAGAGGGATAGACAGAGGGATAGACGGAGGGATAGACGGAGGGATAGACGGAGGGATAGACGGAGGGATAGACGGAGGGATAGACGGAGGGATAGACGGATAGACGGAGGGATAGACGGATAGACAGACGGAAAGACAGAAGGATAGATGGATAGACAGACGGATAGACAGACGGATAGATGGATAGACAGACGGATAGATGGATAGACAGACGGATAGACAGACGGATAGATGGATAGATAGACGGACAAATAGACAAATGGATGGATCGATAAATGAATAGATAGACAGTCAGGAAGGTAGAGAGACGGACAGACAGACAGACAGATAGATTGATGGATAGACAAACAGACAGACAGACGGACGGATAGATGAGTAGATACACAACAAATTCATTAGTGTTAAATTTTGAGTGTTGCGGTAATTCAGAGTAAAGTGTTGAAATTCTAGAGTTAGATAAAGGTAAAATAACTCTCTCAATGTGAAAAGCTGATTTGCCTCCTTGTCACATGTATCTAAGACTAAAACAGTGTTGACGACTATCTGGGAATTTATGCAGCAATATTATCCCTGGAGGATTTTTTCAGATGCCATTTTCTTTTGCCACGAGGAGCAATGAGTGACTGTTTTGAATTGTTTTCTTTAAACATTAACCGAATAGTTAATAAATAGTTGCTGATATTAAACAAGATATATTTTTATTTCTGTGCGGAGTTGAAAATTTGACCTAAAAGTGTTAACACATAACACTGAGTGTGTTCATATTTCACACTTTATGAGTTTGCTGATTAGCACTTTCTGAGTGTTGATAATGTTAACTCTTTCACAAGTGTTATTTTAACACTTTTAGAGTGGTTCCCATATAAACTCTGAGAGTGTTCATTTTTAACTCTAAGGTAGTTAAATCTATCTTAAATTTGCAGTGTATATGGACGAACGGACAAATGGATGGATAGACGGAAAGATACATGGATAGACAGGAAGGTAGAGAGATTGACAGATTGACCGACAGGTAGGTAGGTAGGTAGGTAGGTAGATAGATAGATAGATAGATAGATAGATAGATAGATAGATAGATAGATAGATAGATAGATAGATAGATAGATAGATAGATAGATAGATAGATAGATTTATTACAATAAAAGCCTTTATTATGCTTGGCTCACCTGAGCAGAAGCTCTTTGGGAAGTTTTTTGTTGATGGGGGCCTCATCATTGTTTGAGAACACCTGGACAGCATAAAATGACACACACACACACATACACACACACACACACACACACATTATGTAAAGCTCGTCCAGCAGATCTGTTCATGCACAATCAATATGCTGAAAGCTGGTTCAGACACGCCTCGGCCTGGTGCAACTTCACCAATAACACTTGCACAAGAAGACAAACAGCATCAGCGGGTGCCTTAGATAACACTGCTGCTCTGTGACATCTTCTCGAGCCCTCACATTCAGGGCACGTCAGCAAGCCAATCAGCTTGATCTAAACTCCGAGAACAGCAGCCAACTCTAACGCTAAACCGATTCAGGCGCGCCGTTGCTGACACGGTCAGCTGGGGCCGTTGTGTTAGGGCTGGATTACCCTTGACGAGCAAAAACCTGAACACTGCATGTAAAAACATACCCATCAAAAAACACTAACATACAGTACCCTTACAGGCATATACGCGCGGGCACGCACGCAGTCAGTCACTGCCGCGTGCGCGCGCGCACTAACACAAACATACGTTTAAACACACTGTCATCGCTCAGACAGCCTGACACCGCCCGTTTTTGTTTCCTCGGGCAAACTATCACAGTTCAACGAGCACGTCCACGGTTCACGCGATATGAGTTACCTCAAATCTGCCCTTGGTGATGCCGTTCATGTCTGTCGCGGTGTCAATAATAAAGACAGTCCTCTGCGAGCGCTGCGCACAGCGACGTTTGCGCGTTTTGTCAACGCTGGCGATCAAACTGTCGTGAAACAGACGTCCAGCTGTAACGTGTGGCCCGTTAGCCCTTTGTGTCTGCGCTGGTAACCGGAGAAATCCCGGGCTGGCCGCCGTCCGTGAACCATCACACAGCCAAAATAACAATAATAACATGGACGGAGCAGACTGCTGCTCTAACCTCACTTCCGCCTCCCGAGCTGCCTCTCTGACTACATTTCCGCTCGGGCGCAAATTCCTGCCCGAAGTGAGCGCTGCTTAATCTTTAAACGACGCCACTAACATGCTTGAGGTGTCTGGCAAATAAGCTTAAAGAGTAATCCTTTTTTATTAGCGTTTGCGTTCGGACGGGCACGTGCACTCGAGCAGTTCGAAAGAGTGGCCGTCGTGACGTCACTTTTGCGGGAAAAACACGCGTGGTGGGTTTGTTTTGATAATGATGTATGAGCTGTGTTGTGGTCAATGCACAACTTGAAGTGTATAGAGAAGTGTATGGTGTTTAATATCCATGCATCATTTTGATCAGACGTGTATTGAGAAAAATGAGAGAATATAGTCACAGTGGCAAAATAGGATTTCATTTAATTTTAAGGTGTTTGGAAATAACAATAAAAAACATTAAATTTGTGATTAACAATATAATTTAAACGTTATGTTTTTTATGTAAAGCTCTATTAACAATATCAGATGTCAAAATAAAACCAATTAATTTCAGCTGCAGCTTTATGGATGTTTGTCCAACCTTTGACCACGTCAATAATAAACCCATTGCTTTAGGTGAAAAGCCCAATCTGTGATCAATGATGAAACATTTAGGTCATGATGACCTCCAAAAATGTACTATTCAGACTTCTGAATGCAAAAAGCAACATTTCTCTCCAAAAATTACTAAAAAGAGTAAAAGTAAAAAGTATTTATTAATGTATTCTGTCATCATTTGCTCACCCGTCACTTCTTCCAAATCTGAATTCTTTATTTTGTTGAACACAATAGAACAGGGGTGTCCAAACTCAGTCCTGGAGGGCCGGTGTCCTTAAAAGTTTAATTCCAACCCAATCAGACACACCTGGGCTAGCTAATCAATTTCTAACTAGGCTTTCTAGAAACATCCAGGCAGGTGTGTTGAGGCAAGTTGGAGCTAAAATCTGCTGGACACTGGCCCTCCAGGACCGAATTTGGATACATCTGCAATTGAAGATTTTTTTTTAAATGTTGGAAACCGGTCATTTGTATTTAATAATATGCAAGTTAATGCTTACCGGATTCTAACATTCTTTAAAATATCTCCTTTTGTGTTCAACAGCAAAAAGAAACTCATAAAGGTTTGCAATGCATTGAGGTGGAGTAAACCATCATGAGTCATTTGGAACTATCCCTTTAAAGTGAGGAATAAATTCTCAAAAAATGAGTATTTTAAAACTTCATTGCATTTATTTACTTATTAATTTACTTTACAAATAGCAAAAGTAGTTTAAAGCGCATAGTTTGGTTGTTACACAATGCTAATTTCTGGAAATGAGAGGAGAATGTTTAAATGACTAACCTCGAGTGTTCCAGTATAACAGCAGAGGGCGCTAGTGCAGCTGAGTTTTTATCTCTCATGATTTCCAGTCTGTCGGTGTCTTTGGTTACGGTCATTTTTCATTCCCTATTAACAAAACATGACAATTTCTGCTGGCCAGATTAGTTTGCCTGCTTTCTGTCATGTTAGTGTGAGAGGGATGTCATTTATGCCTAATGTGTGTGTGTGTGTGTGTGCAGAATTTACATATTAAATCTCTTAAAGGAGTAGTTCATTCATTCATTCATTCATTCATTCATTCATTCATTCATTCATTTTCTTTTCAGCGTAGTCTAGTCCCTTTATTAATTTGGGGTCGGCACAGCAGAATGAACCGCCAACTTATCCAGGACATGTTTCACGCAGCGGATGACAAAGCGGAAGATTCCAGCAGCAACCCATCACTGGGAAACGTCCACACACACTCATTCACACACATACATTACGGACAATTTATCTTACCCAATTCACCTATAGCACATCTTTGGACTTGTTGGGGAAACCGGAGCACCCGGAGGAAACCCACACCAACACAAAGAGAACATGCAAACTCCACGCAGAAATGCCAACTGACCCAGCTGAGACTTGAACCAGCAACCTTCTTGCTGTAAGGCGATCATGTGCGTAGTTCACCCAAATATGAAAATTCTGTAATCATTTACTCACCCCTTACTTGTTTTTGAAAAATTGTGAAAAAAATCAGTAACCACTGACTTCCATGATATTTGGGTTTTCCTGCAATGGAAGTTAATGGTTACCGGTTTCCAACTTCAAAATATATACATATTGGTAGCTGGCACCCATTTACATTCATTCATTCATTTTCCTTCGGCTTAGTCCCTTATTTATCATGGATAGCCACAGTGGAATGAACCACCAACTATTCCAGCATACGTTTTACGCAGCGGATGCCCTTCCACCTGCAATCCATTACTGGGAAAGGCACCCATTCACTTCCATTTTAATTTTCTTTCATACTATGCAAGTCAATGGGTGCCAGCAACCAACATTCTTTAAAATATCTTTTTCTGTTTTTATTTTTGGGTGAACAAAACATTTTTTGTTTGCTTATTTTGTCATTGAGAGGAATGCATGCAGCACATGTTTACATTTTTATCTGATCATCCCTTTTAGGGTACCCTGACATTTGTATCTGGTTTAGATTGTATACCTTATTTTGAAAATAAGTTGTTTCCAGCATGGTGGCTCAGTGGTTAGCACTGTCGCCTCACAGCAAGGTCACACGGCTGGGCCAGTAGGTATTTCTGTGGAGTTTGCATGTTCTCCCAGTGTTGGTGTGGGTTTCCTCCAGGGGCTCCGGTTTCCCTCACAGTCCTAAGATTTGCACTATGTGATGTTTTTAAACAAATTTCGGGAGGAGCATGCGCAGAAGTTTCAGTATTGAATACGTCATTGACAATTATCCCATCATCAAATCAGTTTCTGAGCAACGCCTATATATACCAAAGCTGTCTTACCTGCAGCATCTCACGACTTTAGCATCCCTCCACCACCCCGTCACCTCACCTCTTGCATTACATTCCCGGGGGGAGCGTTCTGGGGCCGGGCTAGATACTTCGCTCGAATCCCAACTCCTCTTTGTTTCCTTATAAGGGGAATAACTCGAGTTGGGGTGTCTCCTCGAGCTCAGAGCCCTCCCCCCGGACAGCACGCCAAATATGCTTTATACTTAAACGAATGCAAGTGTGAACTCATGAAAGGTGATTTGGATAATCTAAAATGACCATTGTGTATGAGTGTGTGTGAATGTTGGAGTGTATGGATGTTTTCCGGTTCTGGGATTGCGGCTGGAAGGGCATGCTTAAAACATATGCTAGAATAGTTTGCAGTTCATTCCACTGTGGCAACCCCTGATAAATAAGGGACTCAGCCAATGTAAAATGAATAAATTAATTGTTCCCATTGTGAACCTCTTAAATGTACAGTTACAGGTTTTGTCGCCCATAAATATTGTCCCTCGGCTGAATCTTTTTTTTTTTTGTACAATATATTTCTTATTTTTTTCAGTTTGCATATCACAACAGATTACACAATTACAGAATAAAAATCATGAAGGCACAGCAAACTTTTTACCCCCCATTCTCCCTCCCAACAACCCATTCCCTTAAAAAATTAATAAATAAATAAAATAAATAATAAAATAATAATAATAATAATAAATAAATAAATAGATAAATAAATAAATAAAATAAAAATTAAAAAAAATAAAAAAATAAAAATAAATAAATAAAATAAAAATAGGGAAGAGAAAAAAAAGAAAAAGGGGGGATATGTTTAAATCAGGTAGAGAGTGTTTCCTGAGTCTAGACCATGGTACTTCCCGTATTTCTAAGCTTTGTCTTGTTGTAGTAGACTGTCAACATTTACATTGTACTTTAAAAAGTTATTAAAAGGTCTCCAGATATCTTCAAACACATTTTGTTTCTTTTTGACCGTGTACATGATCTTTTCCATTGACATATGCGATGCCATTTCTTTAATCCACTTTCCTATTCTAGGTTCATTTATATTTTTACAATTAAGAGCAATAATACGTTTAGCTTCTAAAATACACGTTTATGAATCTGACCTCTTTGCTTTGTAGGAGAGGGCTGACAGGAAATATACCCTGGATAAAAATCTTAGAATCTAATGGTCATTTCTTTGATAAAATTTGGTCAATTATTACAGTAACACCTTGCCAAAAGGGTTTCACTTTTCACACATCACCAAATACAGTGATAAAGTGTTCCTCTTACCTCTTTGCACTTTATACAGGTATCTGGAGTATTCATTTTATCATTTATCATTTACAAGTTATCATTAAACTTGTGCAATATAACAGGAGTTATTTATGTTCACATTAAACATTTGTACTGTACGAGTTTCAGGCTACTATTGATTGTCTGTATCGGCTGTATCTTTGACACTGTTCATTATCAGTATATCATTATAAAGATACTTCCAACTTATATTTAATACTAATTAATTAATATATATATATATATATATATATATATATATATATATATATATATATATATATATATATATATATATATATATATATATATATGTTTATCTCTAGGCATTGAACACATTCGTGAAGCAGTTGATGGCTGCAGTTCACTTAATGACCACAGGTGTCGCTAACAGCAAGGGTTTCTGTATTAAAACTAAGCAAAATTGATCAATTTCAAAACAAGGCTCTCTAGGCTTAAAAAGCATCCTATTCCTTAAGACTCTGGGGTTTTACAGAATCCAATGATGTGCCAATAAAAGAAACAACCTCACTGTGACTTGTTTTAGAAGTGTCCATCTAACATAAATCACTCCAAGAGCATGACGTGTTCCAGAATGTTGCACAGAGAGTCATTTCAGCATTCTGCATTGGCGAAGGTTGGTGTCCGCTAGTCCAGCATCAGGGACTGAACAAGAATGGTGTTCATGACAGGACAACAAAATGGACGCCAAGAAAACGACTGCCAGTTTGCCAAAGAACATGCGAATGAGCCAGAAGAGTATGAAAAGAATGTTTGTCAGTCTAAAATACACCTAATTTAAGTGAAAACATGTAAAGTCAAAGTTACAAAAAAAAAACATTCTTTCAGTAACATTAATAGGACTTTAGTATAAAATGATGGTCTTTAATAGAGCAGCAATGTTGGTTTCTGCAGGTGAAAAAAAACATAGAAATATAGTTTTATTAACATATAAACCATTAAAAACGGAGCTTTGATGTTATTAATTGACTGCATATGCATTTGTTGAGCTTATTAGTATCATTTGGTATCAGAAGTGGCTTGAATGAAAGGCAAAGGCCTCTAGATTATGCTTATTTTACCAAAAATAAAATATGATCATGCCTTGATTTTTAACGATTTAATTAGGACAGTAAGCTCTGGCTTTGCTTAGACAAAAATCTTGTCACTTAACAGAAATAATGTCCAGTATAGAATATAAAGTCAAGCTGCAGTGGAAACAGAATGAATATTGCGTCTGACTCCATCATGAGCTTGGAGGACTGCATCCATACATCTCTGCAATGACTCAAATCTCTGATCAATAAAGTCATCTGGAATGGCAAAGAAAGCGTTCCTGCAGGACTCCCAGAGCTCATCAAGATTCTTTGTATTCATTTTCAATGCCTCCTCCTTAATCTTACCCCAGACATGCTCAATAATGTTCATAACTGGTGACCGGACTGGCCAATCCTGGAGCACCTTGACCTTCTTTGCTCTCAGGGACTTTGATGTGGAGGCTTGTTTTGATAGTGTCATCCGCAATGCTTCATGGGATTCTAGTTCCCTCAATAAACTTAAGTTCACAGACTTAGAACTTATTTTTTGTCTTCCCTTCAAATGAATCTTTTAATGTTATGACAACCCTCACAGCGGGTTTGTGTGATTAATGGTTTATAATGCTTTAGAAAAAAAGATTCATTCATTCATTATTTTTTCTTTGGCTTAGTCCCTTTATTCATCAGGAGTCGCCACAGTATAATGAACCAACAACTATTCCAGCATGTGCCATCAACTTCTCTGGGCTCAGATGCATCTGGGATGGACCATAACACAGTGGAAATAGTCAGGTGGATCAGTATTTCAGGTATTGGGGGGGGGGGGGGGGGGGGAGAGAAATCGAAACCATGTGCTCCAGACCAAAGAAAAGAATCATCCAGACTGTTACTAGTAACAAGTCCAAAAGTCAAGATCTGTCATGATTGGGATGTGTCAGGTAACAAAAGACAATGCAAAACCACATTCTGCACACATTACAATGTCCTGACTGCAGAGGAAGAGGATGCAGGTACTTGACTGGCCTGCCTGCAGTCCCGACCTGTCTCCACTAGAGAATGTGTGGTGCATTTTGAAGTGCGAAATGCCACAACGAAGACTCTGTAACTGTAGCTGCAACCCAGTATTGGGAAACACCCATAGACACTCATTCACACACATACGATGTGACCAATTTAGCTTATTCAATTCACCTACATGAGTTTGAACTGTGGGGGAAACCGGAGCACCCGGAGGAAACTCACGCCAACACTGGGAGAACATGCAAACTCCACACAGAAATGCCAACTGACCCAGCCGAGACTCGAACCAGTGACCTTCTTGCTGTGAGGCGACAGTGCTAACCACAGAGCCACCGTGCCACCATGTGCAGAAAAATCCAAACGCTTTTCTGTTTATTCGTCTCCTCCTGTTGTAAGACTTTGATGAAAAAGGTCAAATGCAGGTTGACAGAGCTCCAGCACGACTCTACATGTGTGTGAGCCGGTTATAAGCTGTAATCACTCGCCTAGCTAAAGCCTTGACTAAATAATAAGGTAAGGAATTTAGGATCACACATAGCTCTGTTATTGAAGTAAATAACATTAGAAGCCCAATTCAGCCGCAATCCTGCTGCTCACTCGCTAAAACACAAACACACTGGCTAGTTCACACAATCACGTTCTCTATCTACAATACACAGGCATACACATTAAAGCCTTTACAGCTGAATGAATGCAACAGGGAGTGTGTGTGTGTGTGTGTGTGTCCATTTAGTAACATACTTGGGTTTATAATAATTATATAAGACCATGTGGAGAATCCTCATAAAGCACAAACACTAACCTGTACTGTGTGTGTGTTTGTATATGTGTGTTTGTGTGTGTCTGCATGTGTGTGTGTGTGTGTGTGTGTGTGTGTGTGCATGAGTGTGAGTGTGCATAAGTGTGTGTCTTTCTGTTGGTGTCTGTATTTGTGTATGTGTGTGAGTGTGTCTGTGTCATTCTGTGTGTGTGTATTTGTATGTGTGTGTGTGTATATGTGTGTTTGCATGAGTGTGTGTCTTTCTGTTTGTGTGCATTTGTGTAGTGTGTGTGCACAAGTACATGTGTGCATGAGTGTGTGTTGTATATGTGTGTGTGTGCATGAGTGTGTGTCTTTCTGTTTGTGTGTGTATTTGAATGTGAGCGTATGTTTCTTTCTGTGTGTCTCTGTGTGTGTCTTTCTGTTTGTGTGTGTGTGTGTGAGTGTGTATGTGTTTTTCTGTTTCTGTGCTTTTGTGTGCATAAGTGCATGTGCATGAGTGTGTACTTGTGTGTTTGCATGAGTGTGTGTCTTTCTGTTTGTGTGCATTTGTGTAGTGTGCGTGCACAAGTACATGTGTGCATGAGTGTGTGTTGTATATGTGTGTGTGTGCATGAGTGTGTGTCTTTCTTTTTGTGTGTGTATTTGAATGTATGTGAGTGTGTCTTTCTGTGTGTCTCTTTCTGTTTGTGTGTGTGTGAGTGTGTGTGTTTTTCTGTTTCTGTGCTTTTGTGTGCATAAGTGCATGTGCATGAGTGTGTGTTGCATATGTGTGTGCATGAGTGTGTACTTGTGTGTGCATGAGTGTGTGTCTTTGTGTGTATTTGTTAAAGTGTGCATGTGCATAAGTTTGTCTCTTTCTGTTTGTGTGTATTTGTATATTTGCATGTACATGTATGCATGTGTGTGCTTGAGTGTGTCTCACTGTTTGTATATGTGTGTGAGTGTATATTTGTCTTTGTGTGTGTGTGTGTTTGTTTGTATGTGTGTGCCTTTCTGTTTGTGTGTGTTTATGTTAATGTGTGCTTGGATGTGTGTGTGTGTTTGTGTGTGTGTACATGTGTGTTTGTATATGCATGTGTGTAAGTGTGTATGTGTCTGTGTGTGTGTTTTTATATGTGCATGTGTGTCTTTCTGTTTGTGAGTGTGTGTGTGTGTGTGTGTGTTCATAAGTGTGTGTTTTTATGTGTGTGGTCATGAGTGTGTGTCTTTCTGTTCGTGTGTGTGTGTGTACGTAAGTGTGTTTGTGTTTTTCTGTGCTTGTCTTACTGTGTGTGTGTGTGTGTGTGTGTGTGTGTGTGTGTGTGTGTGTGTATGTGGTGGTGGGCCAAGACACCCATTATGCTTTCGCATCACATCCAAACAGTGCCCATATTGGGCAGCTTCATCAAAGTGAATGTGTCCAGAGTTTGGCCCCGAGTATTGGGGACACGGACACACACAGTCGGTTTTGTCCCGCTCGTTCTGAACTGACACGCAGCCAGGCGCGCTATGGTGACGAGACGCGCCAAAATTAAGAGCGCGCTCCTAAAAAAAGAGAGAGTGCATTTTACAAACTCTCCTCAGTGCCAGCGCGCACACAGAGCATTCTGCACAGAGCGACTCCCCACGGCACTGGAACAATCCCCGCGCTCAGAGCCTCTGTTCTGCACAGGTTCTGAGTCATGACGTATTTACTAACAGCGCCGTGCGAGTTTTAGCACGGGTGCACGAGCAGCTCGGTAATGCACTTCTCCGTCAGATAAACCTCCCATTGCGTCTCTGTTAAGCGGCTATTAGCTCTTTTCTCTCGGTGAATCAACGGAGCTGTTCGTTTTGGAGTGCGCAATTCAGTTTTGGATTTCCTCACCTTTCCCTTTCAGATTTGGAAAAGTTTTTATTTTTGTTTTTTTCCAGAAACAGTGTTGAGTGTTTCGGGATGTGGAGAGCGGGTCACCAAGAGCGCGCACTGCTGCTGCTGATGGTGTGGCTGACGCGCGCGGACGGTGGGTTTCTCTTGATGATCTGGTGCGGTAATTTGTTTCACGCGCCTCTGCAATACACATTTACGCGCGGTAATGAATGGACGCATGCGTGTGTGATGCTTACAGAAGATTAAGATTTGTGGTAATGCTATATTTGTTTGTTCTTGCTGGGTGTTTGAGTATGTTTGTGCGTGCGTAAAAAATAATAAAATAAATACAATAAATGAATAATATGATAATAGAAATAATACAAATGGTGCGAGACAGATAGGAAAAAAGAAGATTTGTTATTGTTAAAAAGACCCACTCCATCAATATCAAATATAGGATTAGATTCAACTTTATTGTCATTACACATGTATAACAAAGCAACGAAATGCAGTTTAGGTCAAACCAGGCAGCAAGCAGCAAGTGCAGGACACAGGTATACATACACAGCGTATAGACAGTTGAAGTCAAATTATTAGCCCACCTGAATTATTATCAACACATTTTTAAACATAATAGTTTTAATAACTCGATCATTTAATAACTGATTTATTTTATCTTTGCCATGATGACTGTAAATAATATTTGACTATGTGATAATTCTATACAGCTATTTTAAAGGCTTAACTAGGTCAATTAGGTAGGCAGGTTAGGGTAATTAGGCAAGTTATTGTATAACAGTGGTTTGTTCTGTAGACTATCGATAAACAAAATAGCTTAAAGGGGCTATAGATTTTGACCTTAAAATGGTGTTAAAAAAATTAAAAACTTATTTTATTCTAGCCCAAATAAAACAATTAAGACTTTCTCCAGAAGAAAAAATATTATCAGACATACTGTGAAAATTTCCTGAATCTGTTAAACATCATTTGGGAAATATTTAAAAAGACAAAAAAATTAAAGGGGGGCTAATAATGACTTCAACTGTAAGTACACCTCTCACAAATCTCTCATTTAAATTCATATTTTAATAGGACGCTGTACAATATTATATTTGTGCATATACATTAGCTTAGACAGTACTGAAGCCAAATCTGGAGCTTATCTAACAAAATAACTTACGATAACAGTCCAAAAACTAGTACAGACAAAATTTATATGATGGAGAAAAAAATTAAATGCAAATTAAAAAAAAAAAAGGAAAAATCAAGAGAAGCAAAGAAAAAAAGAGAAAAAAAGGAAAAAATTTAGTTGAAATTTTGTAGGTTGTTTTTTTTTTATTTTTGCAATATTAAATCGTATTATCTTTCAATTTCTAAATATGTTTGGTGACTAAAATATAATTTTAATAAATATATATAGGAAGCTTTACAATATTATATTTGTGCATATGCATTAGTTTACTCATACTGAAGCCAAATCTGGATCTAATCTAACAAAACAATTTACAATAATGATAAAAAAATTGGTAGCCCAAATTTATTTTAGGGAAAAATATTAAATAAAAATTTCAAAATTAAGAGAAACAAAAAATATATAAAATTTTGTGGAAATGTTGTGGTTTGTAATTCTTTTTTTGCATTATTTTGCTTGAATTTAACTGTACTATCTTTCAATTTCTAAATATGCTTGGTGACTAAAATATTATTCTAATAAATAAATAAATTGCCAAACCAAAATACAAAATACATTGCCTATATTCACTGAGAAATGGATAAAAATATTAATTTTCAAAATGGGCTGTACTCAATTATGCTGAACGCTGTATATTAAAAGTGCAACTGTTGAAAACTGTGGGTAATATTTAGGATGCATATACCATAAACATAATATACAAGTCATATTAACTAGAATCAGAAATTTACAAATAGATTAGCAATGTACAGGTTGCTATTAATAATCAGAGAATACAGTTGAAATCCCTGATTTCTTTTCTCTTTTTAAAATATTTTCCAAATGATGTTTAACAGAGCAAGGAAATTTTCACAGTATGTCTGATAATATTTTTTCTACAGAAATTGGGGGAAAAAATAATCAGGGGGGCTAATAATTCTGACTTCAACTGTATGAAAGATAAATCGATTATACAATTATATACAATTTATGCTGAACAATTAAAACCCTGTGGTTTGAAGGATAGTGTTAAAGTATAAATAAAAACAACAACACTATAATATAATGAATTAATATTAATAATAATATTTTGGGGTATTCATATTTGAGGGTATTAATATTTTGGGGTTAACACAACACAGTGGCTCAGTGGTTAGCACTGTTGCCTTACAGCAAGAAAGTTGCTGGTTCGAGTCCCGGCTGGGCTACTTGGCATTTCAGTGGGGCAATCCTCTGGGTGCTCCGGTTTCCCCCACAGTCCAAACACATGCACCATAGGTGAATTGAATAAACGAAATTGGCCGTAGTGAATGAGTGTGTGTGAATGTGTGAGTGTATAGATGTTTCCTGGTACTGGGTTGCGGCTGGAAGGGCATCGGCTGTGTAAAACATAGGATAAGTTGGCGGTTCATTCTGCTGTGGCGGCCCCTGATGAATCAGGAACTAAGCAGAAGGAAAATGAATGAATGAACGTTTGTCAAATTCAAAGTCAGTGTGTCAATAATTCAATTTCTCAAAAAAGGTGCGTCACAGGCAAATTTTATTGTCATCATGTGACAAGAAAACCATAGGATCCCTTTTAGATGTTTATTATTGAGCCTAAATCAAACTGAATCATTATTATTTTTTACATTATTTATTATTTATAGTACTTTTACACGTTGTTTTCTTTTTTAAAAGACTTAGTTGAGGTCAAATAATTAAAAAATGGTGCATGTTGTGCATTTTTCATATTGATTTTCTATTACACACAGCAATCTGTGAACAAATAACTGATTCTCTCATCTATGCCTCATGTATTTGCTGTGAAAGTGACTCTAATGCTGCAGATTTGTTTTGACCTCACACATACGTTCAGATTTGCAGTCATACTTTCCATTAGAGCTGTTTTAAAAGCTAAAATCTAAATGACTTAATGAATGTCCTGCTCACCCGCCTCTGATATCTTCACATCAGCATAACAGACTCATCAATGTGACACTAATGAATTTGTAACAAGCCAATGACAGATGGCAGGTTGTTTGTGGTTAGTCAGACTTCTGAACATGACTCAGACTGGATTTACCTCACTGACACCGACCCGCCAACCTTATCTCTTCCAGTTCAGACTCGTCCCAGCTGAGGATGATGATGATGGCTGACCAATGTGTGGTTATGGAGACTCTATGAGGAGAGAAAAAAATGCTGAGTGTTTGGTGTGATCAAACTCAGCATCATTTTGGTCTAAATTGGTAGACAGTCCTGTTATGCAGACACTGAATCAGCTCTGTTTCAGAGGCTTTACACAGGAATTGACTCACTCAAGCTGGGTTTTTATTTCCTTTGTGTGAAATTCAGTGGTGGAAAGAGTGCTGAAAAATCATACTCAAGTAAAAGTACCATTACTTGCCTAAAAAGTTAGCGCAAGTAGAGTAAAATATCAACCTCTAATGATGTTACAGCTTGTTGTTGTGTGGACGTTACCACTATGACGTCTATCAGATGTTGGATTTTGGTTGCCATACCTGATGAATAAATGCCAGTATTTGACATCAATATGATGTTGGTTTAAGATGTTGGATTCTGGTCACTTTCCAACACAACCTAAAATCTACCAAATATCAACGTCATTTGACGCCGTTATTGGACATCAAAACAACGTTATTCTTAGACTCTGACTAGACATTGGATCACCTGACATCACAACCGAAATCTAACATAATATTAACATCTTACGATGTTCTGTGTACTAAATGCACTACAGAATGTTACGTTTACACATACATGCACAAATGACATGTAAATGCATCAGCTTTTGACAGCATAATACTCACTCTTGAGTACTTCTGAAAGGGCTACTTTTTACTTATACTTTGAGTAATATTTACAACAGATACGTTTACTCTACTTGCACTACATTTTAGGCAAGTAATAGTACTTTAAATAATAAAAGTATATAATATATAAATTTATATAAATAAAGTGTGACCATGTAATTTATAAAATGAGCCCAGGAGTTATGCATGACTTTTCAGTACTCTTTCCACCTCTGGTCAACTTATCGTACACTAACCCTAACCCTAAACCCAACCTAACAGTCTACGTATAATCTAATGAGAATTAGCTGACATGTAAATGCAATGTAAGTTAAATTCTACAAAACAGACGATCAAAATAAAGTGTGACCATTTAATTTTAAAACATGAGCCCAGGAATTGGGTTAGTCCTTATTACACCCAGAATGGGGTTGAAATAAACCGTCATCTTTTAAGAGTGTAAAAATAACATTTTGTGAAATTAAAACATTGAACTGCTGCAAAATGCTTATATTTTATTTTAAGAGTGTATGTGGGGCGACGCAGTGGTGCAGTAGGTAGTGCTGTCGCCTCACAGCAAGAAGGTCGCTGGTTCGAGCCTCGGCTGGGTCAATAGGCGTTTCTGTTTGGAGTTTGCATGTTCTCCCTGTGTTCGCGTGGCTTTCCTCCGGGTGCTCTGGTTTCCCCCACAGTCAAAAGACAGGCGGTACAGGTGAATTAGGTAGGCTAAATTGTCCGTAGTGTATGAGTGTGAATGGATGTTTGTCAGAGATGGGTTGCAGCTGGAAGGGCATCTCTGCGTAAAACATATGCTGGATAAATTGGCGGTTCATTCCTCTGTGGCAACCCTGGATTAACAAAGGGACTAAGCCGAAAATAAAATGAATGAAAGAGTGTATGTGGGATCATTTTGAGGCTGATTTCTGCTTCTCAGCACATTTACTGTGCATCAGTTTTCTAACCTTCTGCTGGTATAGAGTTACACTTCTCTAACTGACCTCACTTTACCTGAAAAAAAAAACCTCATTGGTGATGTAATTCATGCCATTCTTTCCATCTGTATGATTTATAACTGTGGTTTATAATTCTTATTTGTGGTTACATCCTTGCCTTTACATTTCATCTATTTGATGTAACAGATTTTGACTAATGTAGTGTAAAATGTGCATTCTACATTCTTAAAAATGTTCCAAAAGGTTCCAAATGTGGTTTTATTCAGTGAACAGTTCTCGAAAAAAGAGAAAACAAGAAAAGAAAGTATGTGCATTGTTAACCTCTTAAGGCTTAGTGGCCACATACGTGAACAGCACATTTTAGCTTTTATGTCTTATGTTTTATTTTGTTACAGACATCCAGTGTCATCCTCCAACTGTTTTGCAGCATATTAAATGTCCTAAACTCTATTTTAACTGTCCAAAATGGGCAAAAAAAATAGTTTTTACTGAAAGTCAAAACATGTTTAAAAATAATGTGTGTGTTATTAATGCATTAAAAACAGTCAAGAAAAATCTGTTGTGTTCAAGGCAGAAATAAAGAGTTTATGATTCTATTACACAAGGGTGACTTTATTGTGTTTTATGTAAATTCGGACCACGAGTCCACATACAGTTGAAGTCAGAATTATTAGCCACCTTTTGATTTTTTTTTCATTTTTTAAATATTTCCCAAATGATGTTTGACAGAGCAAGGAAATTTTCACAGTATGTCTGATAATATTTTTTCTTCTAGAAAAAGTCTTATTTGTTTTATTTCGGCTAGAATAAAAGCAGTGTTGAATTTTTTAAAAACTATTTTTGGGACAAAATTATTAGCCCCTTCGAGCTAATTTTTTTTCGATAGTCTACAGAACAAACCATCGTTATAGAATAACTTGCCTAATTACCCTAACCTGCCTAGTTCACCTAATTAACCTAGTTAAGCCTTTAAATGTCACTTTAAGCTGTATGGAAGTGTCTTGAAAAATATCAAGTAAAATATTATTTACTGTCATCATGGCAAAGATAAAATAAATCAGTGATTTGAAATAAGTTTTTAAAACTGTTATGCTTAGAAATGTGCTGAAACAATCTTCCCTCCATTAAACAGAAATTGGGGAAAAAAATAAACAGGGGCGCTAATAATTCAGGGGGGCTAATAATTCTGACTTCAACTGAATATGGACATCATTTTTCTCTAAAAGTACATCCCATTAAAAGATGATCCTTAGGTTTTATTCTAATTAGGTTCCAATAAGCCCAAATAGCAAAGAGAAATAAAAAATGCATGTAAAAAAAACAGCTTGGGCCTTAAGAGGTTAAAGGGGAAACCCTTATTGTTAGCATTACAGAAAAGCAGCCAGTAACGGATTACTTGTGAGACTGAGGTTAATTTAAAGGCACAGTAGGTAAGATTTTTTCTTTTAAATATTAAAATAAACACTAGAGCCATGTTATATATTGTGCTGACTTATCCCAAATGTTTCAAAGAAGGTTAAAATCCAGAGAAATAAGCAATTATATATAGTGAGATGGAGTGTGTGCTGATGATATCACACACCCTCGATGTCAAATTTGTTTTTTAAAAAACAGGGAAACACCATAGAGGCTTTAAAATGTTGTGGGTTTTAGCAGACTGCACAAATCAATATTATAACAAAAGCCTCAATTTATTCAGTTTATTAAATTTATTCAGTTTGATAAATCAGTGGTGCTTTTTCTTAACGTGATCACGGGCTGAAAAACTAGAAGCAGTGGACTGTGGAATAATAAAAGCTCCACTGCTTTTGTGTCGCTTTGCGCTCGTCTTTCATTAGCAATTGTTTCACCGTTTCTTGTTTCACTTCACGGCATTCAGTCTCTGCATACTAGTATAATAATAAATCCTGAATACTTTAGCTCATCCATCAACATAATTTCTGCAGTCCCGTAAGATGCAAAGAAGACCACAACTCCCATGATTCCACGCTCAGTTATGGCATCATCAAACTATGCCTTTGTTTGTTGAAAATATGCGCCCTCTGTGCCATACTGTGCCTTTAGGGTGTTCTTGTTATACATGTTTAATGTACTAACTAAAGTAATTATAATTAATTATGCTAAATTACGCATAGCTAACACTCTCGTAAGTGCATGTTATTATTTTACTTAATAGTTAAATGAATAGTTACATTGTAATTAAATAAATAAATAAACGCCAAAGTGAATCAACGTTTTTTTTCAGTTTCTCACCAAATCTTGACCAATCAAATGCTCTCTAGTATCTGACATGCCCCGCCCCCTTAAAGATGCTTCTCATTTGATGCGCTTAAAGGTTCAGGACACCCTGGATAACTTTTTTTTATATTAACAGATGTGTGTGTGTTGAGCATCAGTTAAGACAATGTTAGCACCTGTCAGCTTTAATTGTGGGGAAAACTGGATAATTTTGAGCTTTTGTCAGCTAATTTCAGCTTCCGGTTTTAAAATGATTTTTGGGGTGGGATCAAAATCGGTGACGCAGCGCAGTACTGCAAGTGCAATGATGACGCGTCGGTTTCTCATTATTATTAGCGGAGTTTTCTTATCCTATGAGAAGAGCCGGCTGCTTAATTATTCATGAGACCTGCCAGACCTGCCAGAGTCAAGCCCGAGCTGTGTCACGGACCCACGGGCACACAGTATTTAGCCGTTAATGAAGGCTCATATGCGTTTGTTTCCATGATCCACGCGGTTTGTTGCATGTTTTCCCCCGCGATCTTGTCAGGGCCGATCATACAGCAAAGCTGTGTGTGTGCTGCTAGCATTTTTGTTGGGAGAGCAGCACGAGAATTAGAGAATGGCGGACGCTGACTTTCATCAGGAGTTCGTTTACATTCAGACACATCGCCGTGCTGTTGTGTTTGCCTAAATCCTCCAGATTACAAGCAGGGCTAATGGTTAAAATAGACGGGTCAGGAGACCTGCTGCACTGAGTCTGCTGGATACGGGGATTGAGGGAGAAGTCCCCATTTATACGGTTTACATGAACACACTTATCTTTATAATTATATAAATTGTGGTTATGTGTATATGAAATTACGAATAACAAATGTAGCAGGGCATTAAATCACTGTTTATTTCTTTGCATTTTAACTTTGTAAACTAAAAACTCATGCGTCTCCTCACGGTTTGTCTCATTTTGTGAGCTAGCTTCGTTCGCTCACGTTCTCCCCTGCTGGCCACGCCCACTCCTGCCCGATGCTCGCGGAGCTCCACGCCCATTAATCATGCATCTTTTGAAAAAATTCTGAAGTAGACTTTAACTGAAAGTGGAGGGTGTCATGGCCCTTTAAGCTAAACTACTCACTGGCAGAGCGCTGATAAAACAAACAAACAAAACGCTATTGGCTGTTTGTTATAAAGGGGAGGAGCTACTACATGTCCCGTCCTGTCTTCATATTTCAGTTGAGATTATGTCAAACATCAAATAAAAGTGCACATTCACGAGACCTTTAACTAAATAAATAAAGTGTAACTTTAAATTCTGCTACAAATAAACTGCATTTTTAATATTAACACCGCTTGAACTGGTTTGTTTCCAGCCTCTCCATTAGGACGTGTTTTCTTACTGGAGTTGGAGAGTTTTTCAAAGGGTGGACAGGAGGACGGGTTCGAGGCAGCAGCACAGGCCTGTATGGCTCAAGGGGCCCGGGTGGCATCAGGGGCCGACCTGCACCATGCTGTGCTGGAATGTGCTTTCTCAGCCTGCTCGCGTGCTTGGCTCTCCGGACCCAGTGTTGGGTAAGAACATTACATTAATTACCTCCAGAATAGAGCTGTCCTGCTTTTTTGAGGCATGATAATAAGATACCCTGCCCGCCTGTTTCTGTATTTTTGTGTGCGATTGCAAGAAAGAGAAAATCCTACCTGAGAATACAGCAAGAACATTCCTATTTACACCTCGGGGCCTGAGAGAAATGGACCTGCGGCGTGGTGTGAGGGAACACATCAGCACCTTTCCATGTGTTCATTTTCTGTTCTGCTTCTCTATTGCTGCGGCGTATCGCTTTACTGAGCACAAATCCCAACATAATTATCACTCTGAAAACGACTTGCTCTTTTACAAATGAAAAATACTAAAGAACACTGACACCTAGGGTTTACATCACTATGATTTTTAACATCTTGCAAATGTTTTCCTGTTCATTTATGTAAAGTTTTCATGTGTAAATGGTAATGATGATTGATTGGGATCCCCAAATATGGCCAAGAGATCTCCTTTCCTGCAGAATTTAGTTCTAATATATATATATATATATATATATATATATATATATATATATATATATATATATATATATATATATATATATATATACTCACTGGCCACTTTATTAGGTACATCTTTTTACTGCCTTAATCCTTCGTGGCATAGATTTAACAAGGTACTGGAAATATTCTTCAGAGATTTTTTCCATATTGACATGATAGCATCACACAGTTGCTGCAGATTCATCAGCTGCACATCCATGATGCGAATCTCCCGTTTCACCACATCCCAAAGGTGCTCTATTGGATTGAGTTCTGGTGACTGTGGAGGCCATTTGAGCACAGTGAAATCATTGTCATGTTCAAGAAACCAGTCTGAGACGATTCTTTATGACATGACATCAGAAGTTGGGTACACTGTGGTCATAAAGGGATGGACATGGTTAGGAACAATACTCTGGTAGGCTGTGGCGTAGACACGATGCTCAATTGGTGCTAATGGACCCAAAGTGTGCCAAGAAAATATCCCCCACACCATTACACAATCACCAGCAGCCAGAACCATAAATAGAAGGCAGGATGGATCCGTGCTTTCATGTTGTTGAAGCCAAATTCTGACTCTACCATCTGAATGTTGCAGCAGAAATCGAGACTCATCAGACCAGGCAACGTTTCTCCAATCTTCTATTGTCCAGTTTTGGTGAGCCTGTGTGAATTGTAGCCTCAGTTCTTAGCTGACAGGAGCTGCACCCGGTGTGGTCTTCTGCTGCTGCCTCAAGGTTGGACGTGTTGAGTGTTCAGAGATGCTCTTCTGCAGACCTCGTTTACTGTCGCCTTTCTATCAGCTGGAACCAGTCTAGCCATTCTCCTCTGACCTCCTTCAAGGCATTTGCGTCCACAGAACTGCCGCTCACTGGATATTTTCTCTTTTTCAGACCATTCTCTGTAAACCCTTGAGATGGTTGTGCATGAAAATCCCAATAGATCAGCAGTTTCTGAAATACTCAGACCAGCCCGTCTGGCACCAACAACCATGCCACGTTCAAAGTTGCTTAAATCTCCTTACTTCCCCATTCTGATGCTCGGTTTGAACTGCAGCAGATCGTCTTGACCATGTCTACAAACCTAAATGCATGTAGCTGCTGCCATGATTGGAAATCCGCATTAATGAACAGTTGGACAGGTGTACCTAATAAAGTGGCAGGTGAGTGTATATATATATCGTAACAAACACTGTAGGAATAATAATTAATAATAATAGTCATATCTTGTGTCAAAGATGGATTTTCTGGATTAATATTTCAATCAAATGATGACTTGATGCTTAAGAAACATTTGTTAGCCAGCTAAACATTTACTAGAAAATCTTCTTTCTCGGGATTATGATTAGAAGAGCAGCTATTTGAATCAGAAATCTTTTTTTTTTTATATTTCACACTTTTGTATGATAGTTCTGTAAGCTGTAAGTTAAATCTAAGTAAGCATATTTAACATATATTTACTTGGAATTCTCATAAGAGCCTTAATCTTTAATAAATTAATACTAATGTATTCTGGCTTACGTTCACTTTCTGCGCAAGGTTTTATAAACGAGACCCCTGGCATTCTGCTGTTATTAAGTATGAATTTATGCATGTCTGAGGCCTTTGTTGAATATCACTTGCATATGTGAGTTTGGCCAAAAGGAGTGGCCTTCCCTTCAGAGAAACCTATAGATTACACATGGATATCTTGGCCGTGACACATACATTTCTCATTAATGACATACACATGTAGGTCTCTTTAAAAAGCTAGCCTCAAGAATATTTACCTCTGAATCGCTGAACTTTGACACTGGGCGTTTTCTGTCTCGGAGGGTCCAGTCTGGTCTGGTCATCTTGTGGTTTTCGCCTACTCTGCACACAGACAGACCCACATGCTCATAATACTGATTAAGACTCACAGCTGAGTGCTAAAAGGTGAGCTAAGCAACTTACAGCCCTCACAAACATTTGGAGGAATCTCTCTAAAAGATCTGGTGACAAAAAACAAGACAGACATGCTTGACTGTAGATGTGGGGTATTCATAACCGACCGAAATCTCTAGACTGAAGCTTTATAAAACCCAAAGTTATTGTAGAATGATTATTCAGTTCAGTTGATTATGTTTTTTGCCCCATTAAAGGCAAGGAATGTACAGTACAGACCACACAACAATTCAACATAAGCAAAGACAAGCAAGTAAAAAAAGACACCCACAGTAAGTGTTGTAAATAAATAATAAAATTATGTAATATATTAGAAACACAAAGATCACATGTTACATTAATGCAGCATATCACTTTGGGTTTGATTTTAATGATCTAGGGGCAAAGTCTAAAGCGCAGGGCGCAAAAGCATTAAGGGTGTGCCAGAATCCACTTTTGCTATTTTAAGGAAGAATAAATCCGCTCTGCACCACGGCGCATGGTCTAACAGGGTTGTGCTTATTCTCTTAATGAGTTATGGATGTGTTTTGAGAATAAACCAAGCAGAGTCTCATCTCCTATTCCCTTTAGAAGTCAGTTACGTTGCGCCATGGCACATTTGCTATTTATGGCGGGCTTTGTAAGTGGAAAAACTGAACACTTCACCAGCGAGAAAACAGTTAAACAGACTATCTGCAGCACGAGAATGAGAGATGAGCCTCCTCCAATCGGCCTTTGCTTTCTCTTTCTCTCTTTCATGGATAAGGAAACGGTGTTGTATGCACAGACATCCATTAGCCCAGGGGTTCCCAAACTTTTCAGCACGCGACCCCTAAAATAACAATACCAGTGACTCGCGACCCCCAATATCCTCTGAGGTGGTTATAAATACAGAAAACTTGCATGCAATGGCGCACACACACACCAATAGACCAAAGTCTATTCTTCGTTTAATTTTTTAAATGTATTTCAGTGCTGTAAATGGGCCAGAAAGTTTAACCTGGTGTTATAAAATCAATCTGCTGCATCTGACGCTTTTGCTGTCTTTAAAATAATGTATTTACCCCAGGGGTCGCAATCCAATAGAACAAGTAAATAAGCTACTATAGTAACTATAAACGACTGTTTTTTTCTCTTCAGTTGGTTATGGATAAAATATGGTAACTCTTATGGTCTAATAATAATAAGTAGATTTTTGGAAATCACCAGGCGACCCCCCTTCATTGTTCCGCGTCCCCTCAAGGGGTCCCGACCCCCACTTTGAGAACCACTGCATTAGCCTATACATAATTACTTTAGCACAAAGATTTGTTTCAAATCTATTATTAAGTTCAGTTCTATTTTCCAGCAAACAAATAAATGAATAATAATAACAAATTGTGTTAAAAAAAACAGCAACCTTCTTGCTTTGAGGCGATCGTGCTACCCACTGTGTCACCCCTTTAAAATACATATAAACCAAAAACTATGAAGCAATTTTTTTTGTGTTATATATATATATTTGTTATACATAAGATCTTATAATCTGACAATTATTATGTTAGATAATATTGTTTATACAGCGGGGAATAAGGTATTGAACACGTCATATTTTTTTCCTGGGAATAACATTTCTAAAGGAGCTATTGACAAAAAATAAAACTACTGAAACGTATTTAATACTTTATATAAAAGGCTATTTTGGTGATGGCAGCTTAAAGACACCTCTCATATGGAGAATGAAGTCATATGCATTGCTCAGGTGTGAGTTTTTCACAGACTTCAACAGAGTGTACAAATCTTGATGGTTCTGTGGGTCTCGTCTATCAAATCTGAGCTTTATTTAGTATTCTCCATTGGATTCTGAAAGCATTTGAGAGTTTCCTTGGCTGTGTTTTGGATTATTGTCTTGCTGAAATGTCCACCCTGGTTTCATCTTAATCATCTAGATACTGTAGATGTTGGACTGAAGCAGCGAATATTAATTTACAACGACGAAGTGCAGAGGGTTGCTGAAGAACTACTGAGAGATTTCAGCTGCTGTCTGGGTTTTTCTTTCTCTTTCTTTTTCCCTGTATCACTTCATTTTATTACACATAACTTCATTTGTAAACTAATTAGATTTATTTTCTTTGCATGTGTGGATTTCTTTTCAAGTCAACGGCACCTTTATGAATATGTTTTCTGAGAAAATGCTGACATTTAAATACTTTTTTCGACAAATTAATATTTTTTTAATCCACTTTGTAATTATTTGTGAAATTTGCTAAAAATAAATTGGCTTATTGTTTTACAGGGGGCTTTAAGAGATAGTTCACCTAGAAAATGTAAATGTACTCAATATTTACTCTCACTAAAGAAGTTACAAACCTTTATAAGTTTCATTAAACGCCAAAAGAAAGAAAAGAAGATATTTTAAAGAAGCTGAAAAGAGTAAACATTGATTACCAAATACAAATACAATGGAAGTCAATAGTTACAGGTTTCCTTCAGAATATCTTCACTAGTGTTCAACAGAAGAAACAAACTCGTAAAGGTTTGGAGCAAAAAAAGAGTAGATGACAGAATTTTGGGTGTACTGTCTCTTTAAGGGGAATACAAAACATGGGTTTCCCCATAATTTTAAAAAGGACCCCCACAGATTATGAGTAAGAGCGTGCTAATGGGAAAATCGGGCTGAAAGCATTCACGCATGATACAAAACAGACCTGTAATGTAAATTTACACAAACACTGAAGACATTAGTAATGTGATGATGGGGATGTACTGCGTAAAGTGTATACGCAGGTTCGTGTATGCATGTTGAAACTGAGCTGCATATGTAAGCAGAATTTAACAGTGACGTTGTGTCTGTTACCGTCCTGCTGGAAAGGTCAAAACATGATGGCAGGAATTCCTCTAATTTACTTCCAACTTATCGTTGTGTGATTTCAGGAGCACAGTGTGCAGCGGCGTCCCGGGACATCTGAGGCCAGTCGACGTGCAGCTGGAGAATTCAACCGCCAACACTGAGAGTCTGGGCGTATTCTGTGTGAAAGATAGCGGTCAGTTTTAACCTTCTAGGACTTAATGGCCACATACATGGACAGCTCATTTTAGCTTTTAAGTGACTTTTTAAAATACTTTGAATGTTTTATATTTTGTTACAGACAAACAGTGTCATCCTGCACCTGTTTTGCAGCATATGAAATGTCCCAAACACTATTTATAACTGTCCAAAATGGGGGAAAAAAAAGTTATTTTTACTCTCTGATAATCAAAACATTTTCAAAAAAATTTCTATGTTAAATATGCATTACAAAACAGTCAGGAAAAAGTGTTTTATGTAAATTCAGACCACGAGTCCACATTTATGGACATCATTTTTTTCTAAAAGTTAATCCTATCAAAAGATGCTACTTAGGTTTTTATTCTAATTAGGTTCCAATAAGCCCAAATAGCAAAGAGAAATAAAAAATGCATGTAAAAAACACATTGGGCTTCAAGAGGTTATCACTGGATAAAGAAACTTTTTCACTTTGCATATACCAGGGGTCGGCAACCCAAAATGTTGAAAGAGCCATATTGGACCAAAAAAAAAAAAAAAACAAATATGTCTGTAGCCGCAAAAAATTAAAAGCTTTATATAAGCCTTATAATGATGGCAACACATGCTGTATGTATTTATATTAGCTATATTAGCATACTATAAAAATGACTTCGTTGGCTACAAATACATACTGAGCCTTCATGATTAAATGTTCATTTCCCTGCAGTGCATCCTGTAGAGAATGACGCGCCACGTGACTACTCTGTTGTACGATGCCGTCTCAAGTTTAACTTAATTACAGTATATTAATGAATTATGTTTAATATTCAAGTTTAACTTAATTACAGTATATTAATGAATTGTTTAATGATCAAGTTTAACTTCATTACAATATTAATGCATTATGATTAATTATCAAGTTTAACTTCATTACAATATTAATGCATTATGATTAATTATCAAGTTTAACTTCATTACAATATTATTGCATTATGTTTTGCTTTGATGAAATTAAAGAAATGCAATAAAGAAATCAGATTTTTTAATGTTTTTTTTTATTTTGAGGATTCAAAAAAACAACATCAAAATGAACGTGCAACGTGCCCCTTATCTGGGCAACAAACAGTGCAATAAAACGCAGCCTGCCATTTCCATTTCAAGATCAGCTCGAGTCATTCCTGGGAATGTGCTCAACAAATAAGGGTCAATCTCCAAGGGTGTGTGTCAAGGAAAGACAGTCTCGTTTTTTCCTTTCGCAACTCGCAAAATATGCTCCCAAATGCAGTTTGCATATCAACGATCGCACCTTGTAAATAATCACCGTTGAGTGAGTGATCGGGATGGGCTTCTTTGAATTCTCTCAGGGAGGGAAAATGAGAAAGCGTGCCCCGCTGTACATCTTTGGCAAAGACAGCTTGCGCTCCATGGCACATCACACAGCCGCCGGTTTGTTTACAACAGCTACCTGCCTGGCATCCCGCCCTGCTGATAGAAACGTGTGTCGCAGGCTATGACGCAAATCTTCGTTGACAGAAATGTTGAAATTAAATATTCTACACACTTTTACAGCATTGGAAAACGTTAAGATTGTTTGTCCTCCTATAGAAACCATATTAAAACAAAAAATATATTTATCTCCCTCATCGTTTTCCATTTTCAAACATTTTTTGAAAAAGTTCCAGGGAGCCACTAGGGCAGCGATAAAGAGCCGCATGCGGCTCTAGAGCCGCGGGTTGCCGACCCCTGGCATATACACATACCAAAATACATCAGCCTGCTGCATGCTGTTAATAGTGATTAATTTCTATACTTAAAAAATATAAGTAAACCTGTTACAAAAAAAAGTAACACCTGATTTTACTTAAAGGGGACCTATTATGCAAATAATGCTTTTATAAGTGGTTAAAACACAATTGTGTTGCAACACTCTGTGAATATAACCAGCTATAGTCACAAAATTAATCTATTAATTTAGTTTTTTATTATTATAACATAATAAAAACAATCTGATTGACATTCTCTCTTTGTATGTGTCATTAGAGGAAAGCCCCGCCCATTAGACCATCTCTCCCTTATTAGCATATGACACTAGTCTTGTTTTTAAATCTGCCACTATGCAGACACAGAGGTTTGTAGCTCCGCCCTCTTTTGAAAAGAGCACAATCTCATTTGAATTTAAAGCGACAGTCACCAAAACAGTAAAATTTGAATCAAACCCTAAAAGAGGCACGTTTAAACAGTTATACAACATTATTTGTGTGGTATTTTGAGCTGAAGCTTCACATACACTCTAAGAACATCAGAGACTTACAACTTGTAAAACGGGGCATTATAGGTCCCCTTTCAAATTAAAAACGTAATTTTAAAAAATTATGCGCAACATAGGTCCTAAATACAACAATCAATGACACTGATCTACAGTTGAACAGACAAAAACTCAACCAAAAACTCGGTTGAGACTGAGTGATTAGGTACTATACTTAATAAATTTTCAGTAAATCTTTTACACTAAAAGTGACGTATGACAACTGACTTTACTTAAAAATTCATTCATTCATTTTCATTTCGGCTTAGTCCCTTTATTAATCTGGGGTCCCCACAGCGGAAATTACCGCCAACTTATCCACCATATGTTTTACGCAGCGGATGCCCTATCAGCTGCAACCCATCACTGGGAAACATCCATACACACATTTTCATCACATGTGATTATAAATTTAATTTTTTTATCATTAGAAGCTGGTCATATTCACAGACTGTTGCCGCACAACTGTGTTTAAACCCTTTATAAAAGTGATTTTTTTCATAACAGGTCCACTTTCATTTGTGTTCAGAAGATAAACGAAGGTGTCAGGGGTTTGATGACAAAACGTTAATTTTGGAGTGAACTGTCTCTTTAAAATCAGATGGAAACAGAATAGCTTTCGATTTCAGTATGCAGTGTGGAAACAGGCCTTATATATAACTCACCCTTTGAATTTTGCTGTACTTTGTCTTTTATAAATCACTGACCGGTTCTGTTTCCTATCTATCCATCAGATGCTCCATGTGGCCAGCCACCTTCATTCCCACACTCACATCTGCAGGGAAAAACTGGTCTGGATCTGGGCGATGAACTTCTGTACGCCTGTGACCCAGGACACAAACTGCCCAATGGAGAAACGGCCTTCAGTCTTCTCTGCGACAGCTGTGGCGAATGGTACGGCCTGGTGCAGCACTGTGTCAAAGGTAAGCTGAAAACTTGATAACGTCGTTAGAAAACTAAGGCATGCATGCTGAGGGTTTATTTGGCCATTGGGTGTAACTGCAGAGTCCACAATGCACAGTTGAAGTCGAAGTTGAATTATTTAACCCCCCTGAATTATTAGCCCCCCCGTATATTTTTCTCCCCAATTTCTTTTTAACTGAAAGAAGATTTTTATCAACACATTTCTAATCATAATAGTTTTAATAACTCATTTCGAATAACTGAGATTTGGGATTTGCGAGCAAAAATTGCAGTCGGCCATGCAATATTAAGCTTGGCACATACACACTCACCGGCCACTTTAATAGGTACACCTGTCTAACTGCTCGTTAATGCAAATTCCTAATCACATGGCAGCAACTCTATGCATTTAGGCATGTAGACATGGTCAAGACTGCAGTTCAAACCGAGCATCAGAATGGGAAAGAAAGGTGATTTAAGTGACTTTAAGTTATTTAGGGTTGATTTTAGGGTATTTCAAAAACTACTGATCTACTTTTTAACACTCAACTATCTCTAGAGTTTACAGAAAATGGTCAGAAAAAGAGAAAATATTCAGTGATTGGCAGTTCTGTGGGTGCAAATGCCTTGTCGATGCCAGAGGTCAGAGGAGAATGGCCAGACTGGTTCCAGCTGATAGAAAGGCAACAGTAACTCAAATAAGCACTCGCTTTAACCGAGGTCTGCAGAAGAGCATCTCTGAACACACAGCACGTCCAACCTTGAGGCGAATGGGCTACAACAGCAGAAGATCACACCAGGTGCCACTCCTGTCAGCTAAGAAAAGGAAACTGAGGCTACAATTCACACAGGCTCACCAAAATTAGAAAATAGAAGATTGGAGAAACGTTGCCTGCTCTGATGAGTCTCGATTTCTGCTGCAACATTCAGATGGTAGAGTCAGAATTTTGTGTCAACAACATGAAAGCACGGATCCATCCTGCCTTGTATCAATGGTTCAGGCTGGTGGTGGTGGTGTAATGGTGTGGGGGATATTTTCTTGACGCACTTTGGGCCCATTAGTACCATTTGAGCATTAAGTCAACACCACAGCCTAGATGAGTATTGTTGCTGACCATGTCCATCCCTTAATGACCACAGTGTACTCTACTGATGGCTACTTCCAGCAGGATAACACGCCATGTCATTAAGCGTGAATCATCTCAGACTGGTTTCTTGAACATGACAATGAGTTCACTGTACTCAAATGGCCTCCACAGTCACCAGAACTCAATCCAATAGAGCACCTTTGGGATGTGGTGGAACGGGAGATTCGCATCATGGATGTGCAGCTGACTAATCTGCAGCAACTGTGTGATGCTATCATGTCAATATGGACCAAAATCTCTGAAGAATATTTCCAGTACCTAGTTGAATCTATGCCATGAAGGATTAAGGCAGTTATGAAGGCAAAAGGGGGTCCAAGCCGGTACTAGTGAGGCATACCTAATAAAGTGGACAATGAGTGTGGATAATTGTCAGTTCATTTAAAGGTCAGAGAGTTTGCTAAATCACCACAAAAAGAACAGCCCTGTTTTGTTTACTTGTCTAATTATTGTTTAATATTTCTTTTTTTAATAAAAACTTTTATAGGGATAGTCGGGTAAATAATCCACTTCTACTTCATTCTACCTTTCTGAACGACTCTTTAGTTATGCTTTCTTAAACTCAGCATTTATTAATATACTAAAAGTTAAAACGGTGCCAATGTTACAAGTTTAAAAAAGATACAATGCATGGAAAGAGTCTTAAAATGGTCTTAAAGAGACAGTTCTCGCAGACATGTCAATTCAGCATCATTCACTCACCCTTTACTTATTTCAAACCTTTAGGAGTTTCTTTCTTCTGTTAAAAACAAAAGAAGATATTTTGAAGAATGCTGAAAACCTGCAACCACTGACTTCAATCGTATTTATTTTTACTACTATGGAAGTCAATGGTTTTCAGCTTTATTCAGAATATCTTATTTAGTGTTCATCAGAAGAAACAAACTCATAAAGCTTTAGATCAGGGGTCACCAATCTGGGTCCTGGAGGGCCAGTGTCTCTGCAGGATTTAACTCCAACTTGCCTCAACACACCTGCCTGGGTGTTTCAACTATACCTAGTAAGACCTTGATTAGCTTGTTCACAAGCGGCCCATGGTGTACACACCAGCCTCTGCTCCCGAAAATGTTAGCACCAGCCAGGAAGGACTTGACAACACATCCACAACCTCTGGGATGGTCCACCTGGATGAAATCACCAGCATTCCCACAGCCGTCATTAAGGATCCATTGGAAGCCATTGATGACCACTTAATTGAGCACATCCCTGGTTACGTCCCGACTGACACCCCTGAAAACCAGAGCATGATGGAACAAGGTGGAGATCACAGCCTGGACCAGCAGGAGCGGGACCTGGTGGGCGGATGTGTTGAAGACCCCTGTCACGGGGCAGGCCATGGGCCGATGATCGCAGCCATTATTGTAGGAGTGGTAGCGGTACTTATTTCAAACCTTTATGAGTTTCTTTCTTCTGTTAAAAACAAAAGAAGATATTTTGAAGGATGCTGAAAACCTGCAACCACTGACTTCAATAGTATTTATTTTTACTACTATGGAAGTCAATGGTTTTCAGCTTTATTCAGAATATCTTATTTAGTGTTCATCAGAAGAAACAAACTCATAAAGCTTTAGATCAGGGGTCACCAATCTCGTCCTGGAGGGCCAGTGTCTCTGCAGGATTTAACTCCAACTTGCCTCAACACGCCTGCCTGGGTGTTTCAACTATACCTAGTAAGACCTTGATTAGCTTGTTCAGGTGTGTTTGATTAGGGTTAGAGCTAAAATCTCCAGGACACCGGCCCTCCAGGAACAAGTTTGGTGACCACTGCTTTAGATCTACTTGAGGGTGAGTAAAAAATGAGTGACTCATCATTTTGGGTGAACTGTCTCTTTAAGAGGTATTAATTTAACTGTATACACCCTGTATGTGTTGCAGATGATCCTGAAGGCCACATTGACTATGAGGATAAGTTCACCGATGATCATCTGCTTGAAAACTCAGAGGAGCACCATCATATTTCCTTGACTTCAGGAGGAACGCAGTCTACTCAAAGGGAAGAGGAAAAAAAATCAACTCCCGAGCCTGTTCTTGAGCGGACAGCGCTATCTGATGAAAAAAATGACGAGGATTCAACAATATCAGCCACTGAACCTCCAGTGTCTCAGCTCAGCCAGAAACACATGTTCTGGTTCCCTTCGGAGGCCTTCCAAGAGGAGAAAGGCCATGTTGGTATCACGACTGACTCTTTTAAAAACCCTACTGAAGATGAGTCGGTGAAAACGGCTGACAGCCAATCGGATCCTGATGTGATCACAGATGAACATCTGACAGATCCTCCCACTGAGGAACCCTCCAGTCCTAATGTTGAAGCCACTGATGATTCCTGGTTAGATGGATACCCTGTAGGACAGGAGGAAGATAAAGCTGGAGGCGGGTCTACAGGGGAGGCGGGGCCAGAACATGAGGCGGAGACTGAGACTGGCCAATCAGAAGTGGAGGTGTTTGAGGATGCAGCCTCAAAAAAGCCTGTGGAAGAAGAGACTGGGGGTTTGATTGGCAGTCCTGATGAGGAAGATAGCATCCACATTAAAGGAGATGAGGAACAGCTTACTAGACTCGAAGAGGAGTCTGTTGGAATACATGAAGATACGACTGAAGGGATAACAAAAGATGGAGAAGTGCACACACCTGAAAAAACAGCATTGGAGTTTGATGGTGTGACTGAAAGTCCAAATGGTTTGGGTGTAAAAACAACCACCATCATCATGAAGATCACACCTAGCCCAGGTGATATTGCTTTAAACAAGCGGCCCATGGTGTACACACCAGCTTCTGCTCCCGAAAATGTTAGCACCAGCCAGGAAGGACTTGACAACACATCCACAACCTCTGGGATGGTCCACCTGGATGAAATCACCAGCATTCCCACAGCCGTCATTAAGGATCCATGGGAAGCCATTGATGACCACTTAATGGAGCACATCCCTGGTTACGTCCCGACTGACACCCCTGAAAACCAGAGCATGATGGAACAAGGTGGAGATCACAGCCTGGACCAGCAGGAGCGGGACCTGGTGGGCGGATGTGTTGAAGACCCCTGTCACGGGGCAGGCCATGGGCCGATGATCGCAGCCATTATTGTGGGAGTGGTAGCGGCGCTGGCGGGCGTGGTCTTGGGGGTGTGGTGTTATAAAAAGAGGCAGCAGAAGAGCTCGCACTACCAGCTGAACGGAACAAACAGGCAAACACAGAGCATTGAGTTACAGCAGACTGTGTGAACGTCCAGCAGATCCTCATCCACACACACAGCTTACACCAGCAGCCATATAAAGCCAATCATGGGTGAACATTACAGTCCACTGAGCACAACACACAACAGAGAAAAGTGAAACCATCTATCTATCTATCTATCTATCTATCTATCTATCTATCTATCTATCTATCTATCTATCTATCTATCTATCTATCTATCTGTCTGTCTGTCTGTCTGTCTGTCTGTCTGTCTGTCTGTCTGTCTGTCTGTCTGTCTGTCTATCTATCTATCTATCTATCTATCTATCTATCTATCTATCTATCTGTCTGTCTGTCTGTCCATCCATTCAAGTTTCTATCTATCTATCTATCTATCTATCTATCTATCTATCTATCTATCTATCTATCTATCTATCTATCTATCTATCTATCTGTCTATCTGTCTGTCTGTCTGTCTGTCTGTCTGTCTGTCTATCTATCTATCTATCTATCTGTCTGTCTGTCTGTCCATCCATTCAAGTTTCTATCTATCTATCTATCTATCTATCTATCTATCTATCTATCTATCTATCTATCTATCTATCTATCTATCTATCTATCTATCTATCTATCTATCTATCTATCTATCTATCTATCTATCTATCTATCTATCTATCTATCTATCTTAGTTGTTTTATTCATCCTTCCCTTGCTTTTAACTTTCTAGACAAATAGGTTAATGGGTTTATTTGAATATCAGTTCACCAAAATTTGCCTCTAATTGAAGAATTGCATCAATTCTGACCCCTCCGTCACCACACACAGTTTGCCTGACATGATTGTTTAGTGCTTATTAAGTGAGAATTTCTCTTTTGTTTTCTTTGTATTTTCATTGTATGTAGAATGATTTGAATCTAGATGGACTGCATTGGACTGCGGGTTCAGTGTGTGTGTGTGTGTGTGTAGATGTTGCCCGTCTGTCCTTGTTAACAAAATTTCTGTGTTTAGGCTTTGCCCATTAGTGAGTGAGTGTGTGTGAAAGACTCATTGTGACCTATTTTGCTGTGTGTGTGTGTGAGAGACGAAAGAAAGAGAGCAGTCAGTCAAAAGAGCGAGCGGTTGAACTCAGCCTTCTGTGTGCGCACTATTGAACGCTTCTCGCTCACAAACAGGTGAGACATTCTGGTCAGAGGAACCAAGGGTGACGTCTGATTGGCTTTCAGCTTATACAGACCCGGAGCATGCAGGCAAAATAAATAGCTTTCATCCCTAAATTTAGCATACAATGAGCATTTGTGCATTTCAGACCTTGTTTTTCCTATAAATAAGTGAGTTTCTTGGGGTTGAGCTCAGGACTCAGAAAAGATTCACACTCACGGACAGGTGAGACATTCTTCTCAGATGAGCTGAGGGTGGATTCTGATTGGCTTTCAACACATTTGCAGCTTGCGGAGTGTTCGTTTCTTTTAAAGTTACGGTGTGCTACACAAAAAGGTACTTTTTTAAACATTGATGGCTATTACTTAAAACCCACAGACATTTTTCATTCCACAAAAGGTTCTTCAGAAACAAAACATGTTTTTTTTAAAGGGATAGTTCACCCAGAAATGAACATTCTGTCATTATTTACTCACTCCTAACTTGTTCAAAACCTTTTTGAGAACACATAAGAAGATATTTTGAAGAATGCTGGATTGTCAGATTTTATAGTAAAAATTACCATAGTCTGTTATAATATGGGGGGCAGCACGGTGGTGCTATGGATAGAACAATTGCCTTACAGCAAGAAGGTCGCTGGTTCGAGCCCCGGCTGGGTCAGTTGGCATTTCTGTGTGGAGTTAGCATGTTTTCCCCTTGTTGGCGTGGGGTTCGGGCTCCGGTTTCCTCCACATGTACAAAAACGTGTGGTATAGGTGAACTGGGTAAGCTAAATTGTCTGTAGTATATGTGTGTGAATGAGTGTGTATGGGTGTTTCCCAGTGCTGGGTTGCAGCTGGAAGGGCATTCACAGTGTAAAACATATGCTGGATATGTTGGTGGCTCATTCCACTGTGGCGACCCCTGATTAATAAAGAGACTAAGCTGAAAGAAAATGAATGAATGCTATAATATATCTGAAAATGCTGGTAGCTGGCACTCATTGTTTTCCATAGTATTTATTTCAAACTATGGAAGTCAAGCAACCAACATTCAGCTTGAAGCATTCGAAACCAGCCTTAAAATTATTATTTGTAATTATATACGTGGTCATACCCTCACTTTTGTTTTGCTTGTTTAAACTACTTATTATGACTTGAAACAACATAATTTGTTGATCTTTTAGGGACAACTTAACTGTTTTAAGTTCAATCTACATAAATTTGTAAAAATGCTTAACATAAGTTGATTTGTGTTGAAAATGAAGGAATTGTGTGGAACTTAGCATTTTTACAGTGTAAATGGTCATGTATGTAAATTTAAATCTAATATAGTTAAACATGACGACACGGTGGTGCAGTAGGTAGCACTGTGGCCTGTTCACGTGGGTTACCTCCGGGTGCTCCGGTTTCCCCCACTGTCCAAAGACATGCGCTATAGGTGAATTGAATAAGCTAAATTGGCTGTATAGTGTATGAGTGTGAAAGCAAGAGTGTATGGGTGTTTCCCAGTGCTGTGTTGCAGCTGGAAGGGCTTCCGCTGTGTAAAACAAGCTGCATAAGTTTGCGGTTTAATCTGCTGTGGCGACACCTGATTGATAAAGGGACTAAGCAGAAAAGAAAATGAATGTTTGAACATGTATTTGTAAAAACATATATGTGTAAGCAGCCACTTACTTTTTTTTCATAATACATGTTGCATATATGACAAATATTTTATATAGGTAAAACTCAAATATTAACCTGAATGTCATATATGTATAGAATTTTTTCATATGTACCAGATTTCTACATGGGAATTGTGAGGTAACTTTCGTTTTTGAGTGAACTATCCCTTTATTAAAAGGTTCTTTGATGAACTAAAAATGGTTCCTCTATGGCATCAGTGCGATAACACCCTATTGGAACCTTTATAGCATAGGTCTCCAACTCAATTGCTGGAGGGCCGCAGCTCTGCACAGTTTTGCTCAAGCCCTAATCAGACACAGCTGATCCAAATAATCAAGGGCTATTTCTAAATATGCATTCTTCAGCGATGTTGTGTTCTCGTGTAACGTCATCATCAACCTTCAAAGTTCAGTTCCAAAACTCGGCAAGAACGGAGGACGCATGAAGGTTCCCTAATGTGTTCTTGGTATCGAGGTGTCAATGCAGATTTTAGTGCAAAACTCGCTCGAGAAGTCACAGAAGTCACCGTTTCTGATAAAAGCAGGTGGGAAGCGCAGGATTTAATATAGATGAATTATTAAAGTTCAGAGATATAACTTGATCCCTAAACCCTAAATGAGACAGTGAAAGTAAACATTACCATGAAAATCTTAATAAAGGACATAAACACATTAAGGGTGTTTATTTGCTGAAATTTCTATTAAAATTTGTTTTATGTGGTACTGCGCGCTGACATATAGCACCAACATGCTCACGACGACCCAAGTTCGATTCCCGGCTCGAGGTTCTTTGCCGATCCCTCCCCTCTCTCTGCTCCCCATGCTTTCCTGCCTGAATTCTCTACTCCACAGGTGTCAAACTCAGTTCCAAAAGGGCCGCAGCTCTGCACAGTTTAGTTCCAACCCTAATTAAACACACCTGATCAAACTAATTGAGTCCTTCAGGCTTGTTTGAAACCTACAGGTAAGTGTGTTGGAGCAGGGTTGGAACTAAACTGTGCAGGGCTTCCGCCCTCCAGGAATTGAGTTTGACACCCCTGCTCTACTGTGCTGTTATAATAAAATAATTTGTTTTATTTGCATTGTGCAAAGTATATTTGTAAGGCTTTTGTGCATGTTATATATATTTAAAAAGGGGAAATTAATAAATCGTTGTATGAATGCTGTAATGTAAACCACCAGGAAAAATGCAGCATCTCATTTCTGGTTGTTGCTAGATCAGATATGGTTACGGCCGGAAGTTAACAAGAATTATTTATATTATTAATTAAACCTCCCATTTATTGTATGTTATTAACATTTACCCCCACCCCAACTCTAAACCCAGCCATCACGGCACTGTAAAAACAGTAGTTGTACCAAGTATTATTTATGTTATCTATTAAATTACCCAATAATTGTATTTTTTTTACACCTATCCCACCACCCCAAACCTAAACCCAACCATCACAGTACTGTAAAAATATGGATTATTGTTATACAGTGTCATTAAAAATGCTGCTATATTATGTGCATATCGCACGTCCGGCAAGCAGCGTATCCGATCTAGACTTTACCCTCATTTCTCACAGGAAGCGTTCTCTGTTCTCGCGGTCTCCCGAGTTCGTTCTTCTGAGGTAACCTGGCAAGACTGGTCTTCACGAGAACACAAGTCCGATCTCTGCGTTCTTGGAATTGAGAAACAGCCAATGTGATCGAGAGTAGTCTTGAACACCTTGATTAGTTGGATCTGCTGTGTCTGATTAGGGCTTGAGCAAAACTGTGCAGAGCTGCTTTTTGAGACCTACGCTTTTGAGAGTGTATAAAAATTATATGACTGACATTTTTTTCATAAACATCTTCCCAAGTGTCTCATTAACATTCAGCACAAACCTTCAGTTTATGAGGCATATTTATATGCGTGTTATGTGTGTACTTGTAAAAAGCTTGTTTTAGAAATTGTGAATTAAAACAAAACCAACACGAATCAGATTCGTTTAGAATAAACTGAAGGCAAATGTGTGTAGTTTGCTCTTTTAGATGATAATAAAAATAGGTGTAATAAAGCTATTTCTAGGTGTTACAGCATTGTTTGATTTGATTAGAATTACAGATAAGTGAAATATAAATGTATATGAACTTCACATGGTCATTTGTTAATGATGAGCTCACATTTACTGAGTTTTTGCTTTGTTTGTTTTGTATTTTAAGCCCTGTTTAGTAGAGAACAGTATACAGTCTAGTCATTTAGCAGATGCTTTTATCCAAAGATACTTAAAATGAGGAACAAAGCATGAAATTTACCATCCAAGAGCTAAAATTTGGATTTGCTAACAACATTGTGGCATTTCTCTCATCTTATTTTCAGTTTATAATCACTTTAATGTCACAATTACATCAAAAATAGGTCAAAAATGTAAATGGATTTGATGTCATTTCACTTTCTTGATGTCAAAATTACAT